AGTGAGACCTTGAGTGCAGAAAAACATGCAAACCAAATCAGGCCAACTTTACTCACTGTTTAGCTGACAAAATTCTCCAAAATTTGCACGAGGCAAAGACAAGGCCCTCAGTATTTCACCAGCCAAGTTTGAGGTCTCAATTCAATATTTAAAGAAGGCATTTCTTTAACATTTTTCACCTAAGAGTGAAGGCAAGTGATTTCAATTTGAAGCCCAAGACTAGACTGGTACATATCCAACTTTTTGAAAAGATTGACCCCCCCAGTAGTCTGGTGGCATGACTATGGAGAATGTGTAGAAATAGCGCTAGAACCAGATGGTTTTTTGACACAGTTGATTGATGCAGTACCAAAGGGTTGTTGGACTGGTTGTTTCATGTGCCAGTATATTTTCTTGTATTGCATGTTTTTACTATCTTAAGTTTTGGGACTCCCATACACAGTATGGAGAGTTTAATTGGACTGGTGCATATACTCTAAGAAATCCAGTGCTGCCCTACTTCTATCAGTGTGCATGAAAGGGAGGTATACAACACTGTGCACACAATCCAATGGCTCTAACTACAACAAGAATGAATTTAGAAGTATGTGAATCAAGAAATAACTGATGAGCTCACTGACATGTCTCACAGTGGAGTCCGGTAAACCCATCAGCGCACAGGCAGGTGTAGCGATTATCCGCGATTACCGGGAAGCACAGGGCACCATTCAAACATGGCTGACTCGTACAAGGGTCTGAATGGAGATCCGTGAGCCAGCCATTGCAGCAGTAAGGAAGAACACGACATGTTTTGTGAGAGTTATTTGTCCAGATTAAAAGTTGAGTAGTTGAGATGTCAACATTGGAGATTAGAAAAAACAAAGTAAATTCTGTGAAACATGAAATATACATCCATGGTGGATAGTATGCAAAATAATTGTAATTTATCTCTGCGTGCAAAACCTTTGTGAAAGTGAACATCATAATGTGCATCACGTGCTTATGGAATTTGATTATGTTCCCATTCAAAAACTACAAAACAAAACGAAGAAATTGTATCTGTCTACTGAATCATGACTAACTAATACGATGTGCTGTGCTGTGCTGTGCTGTGCTGATGATTTCCTTTTCTTTTCTAGACAACTACACTAGAATCTACCCATTTAATTCCAAATGTAATCAAGTCTAATGAAGTCCTTTTAAGTGAAGCACAAAAGAAAACTTCAAAACTTTTTCACAGTTGAAAAAAAGAACTTGAAAAAAGAAATTGACCGGAGCAGGGTTTGCATCCAAGACCTCTGGATTGCCGTTCTGGTGCTCTACCAACTGAGCTATCCAGCCCTATGTTGGGGGTTCTCCCTTTAATTAAAAAATTCAATTTAATTGTATTGTTTTCTCTAAAACACACTAACAAATGCCTTGGGTCATGAAATCAGTCCATCTTTCTTAAAAAGAAATCATACATGATTTATCTTACTCATACAAGAAATAGGACTTGTGGTTGGTTCACATTCAGCATAAATGCTGTACTCAACACAAAAGCAAACATGAATGGGAACCATTGATGTCAAGTGTCGTCAAGGCAAGTAATTGCACTGCAAATCTGCACAGGCTGGACACTTCGGCAAATTTTGCCTTGACTGTTTTAAGATGATTCATATTGATGTTGATGCAAAGTGTGAACTGGGTTTTAGTGTGATTTTTTTGTGAGAAAGTCTGGGACAATGCGAATGTAAATGAATAGTCTCCAAATTAATGCACTCTTCAATTTTTCATTTAACTATTATATCATTATTTCAGTACAATGCATAAGTGAGGCGTTCTGGCAAAATGAGACAGAAGTGAGCACAGGCCGTAGGGGAGAAAAACGCACAAATCCAAATGGGGTGATTTTTTTTTTTTTTTTATGATTTATTGAAATTTGTAATCTTTGATGTGTGTACTACACATATTTTTTAAATGCATAAAAATCATGGAATAAAAGAGTTATTTTAGGAAAAACAATTGGCATCTTTCATTTTCACGAATACAAAACTGGAAGCTTTGAGTGCCTTTTTCTCAGTATTTTCTCAGCCTCTTTTGCCATGTCAATAAATGCGAACTTTAAACAGCCATAACTTGTCAAACCCTTATTTCGACCTCCGCCCAGTTCTGTCTCATTTTGCCAGAACGCCTCACATATGTGCACACTGAAATGTCTTCTGTAGGATAAGTACACAACTTGCGTGTGTAATTTTCACTTTGGATGTAGATGAACTCCCAGTCTCAGGGAATGGGCCTACAATTTGGTAAACATATTAAAATGAGAGATAGAAACTAAGTGTGAATGGAGTGCAGAGTGCTGTGACCATGCATAAATGTGCAAGGGGCAGGCATTGCAATCGAATTATAAACCCACCAATGGGTGTTTCACAGTTTCGCCCCAACCACCCGTTAGCGCACACACACTGGTAGCTAGCTATCTGATCGACACACACCCCGCCATTCAGGCAAGGGTTACTGGCACAGTCATTGATGTCTATGGAATAAGTGGGTTATTCATGACAGTCACTGTTTAACAGCAGCTTTTTGACTGTGTATGTTCTATAAGTAATTATAATCGGGCAACTTTGTTCCTTTTTTGAAATGGATATATCGCACTTTGGAAAAAAACACATCGTATTCATATGTAGGCCACGAGATATTTCATCAAAAGTATCACTCAAATTAGAAATCCAAAATTGTTATGATCGTCAATTCATTCCTACATGGTAATTGATGACTTGCTATTTTTCAACAACTTGGTGAAATGAAAATATGTCACTACCTGTAAGCATGAATAAAACCTTTATCTAGGGGGAAAACAAGATAAAACACAAGTGAAGAGCAACCTGTTTCACAATTTGTGCCGGTGTAGCCTTCCTGGCAGTCGCAGCGGTACGTCCCATCCTGAAGCTCAACACAGGCTGCGTTGTTGAGACATGGGGCACTGATGCAGGGCCCTACAACATCCACTGCTTGGACAAAATACTCATTCATGAATGACTAGTTTTATTTTTTATTAAAAGATGGAAATAATAAATAATCAGCCAAAATTGATACCGAAAGTGTGAATACAAATGTTGACTGTCGATCCTGTTGGGGAGAGAAGGTAACTTACAAAAGGAAACATGAGATCTATTTTTTTTATGGAACACTCTAGTTTTACGGTAGCATGAGTTAAAACAGTCACTACAGCGCACCCCAAAATACCCACAAGACTATTTGCGAGGCTTTATCGTCGCAGCGAAAACACGTACCCCCATTATTTTTATATCATTTTAAAGCTTTGAATCTTAACTGGTTTGATTTTCAAAAGGGTTTTGGAATCATTTGTGTTCAAATAAGGACATGTCAAAAACAAACTCAACCGATTTCAAGGAAAATCAATCATGCACATTTTTTCTAATGTGGAATTTAATGCTTCATCATGTTCATGATGTGACGATCTCGTTGCATTTTACTTTTTGTGATTCCTTTTCTTTTTGATTGCCGTAGACTACACCTTGAATAAATTCAAAATAATGTTCTTCGTTTCAAGTTCCATGTGTTTTTAATACATATCAACTGCAGGTTGTTTTATTTTATTTCATTAGCTTGCTGACTCGAGCTTGCATCTGATGTACCGCATCATCAAGTTTCCTTCAAATCGGTTGAGTTTGTTTTCAACATGCCTTTATTTGAACACGAATAATTTAAAAACTCTTTAAATATCATACCAATACTCGCCAGGGTAAAAGTTAACATTCCAAGCTTTTAAATGGTATAAAAAAATTGGCGGTACACTTTCTGCGCCGATGGTAGAGCCCCTAAAAAAAAACTTGCGGGTATTTTAGGACACAATTTTAGAAACATCTGGTTAATTATCTTGTTGGCATGCCTAGTAAAATAGTGAAAATAACGCAGACCACATGACATGTTTTTGGGCCAATCAAGAGACGGAATGTGTGGGCAAGGTGTTCAACATGCTAAAGATATACTGTATATATAAGAGTTTTAGTTTGGGTTTTTGTTGCAGATCTGCCATATACATTATGGATTCTGATAGGGGCTAGAACCAGACAACCCTGCAAGAACTGAATAATTATTGGGCCACAAATTACAGGGCGACTTAAAAGAAGCAGAATCCAAACCCCCCAAAATGTATTTCATATTTAGAAAACTATGTAGCACCAAACATAATAATGACTTGAAAGCCGATTTCATAAGCTACTTATAGATGAAAAAATAGTGAAATTGGTCAATCTGTTCAAAGAATATCACAATTTAAACGCAATGACCCTGAAACCTGTTTTGTCCAAAAAAGAGCAGGTTAGTGTGTATTCTGACTATTAACAACAAATTCAAAATCACACAGAATACTTGTTTCAACAACTGTCAACAACTGTAGTACACAAAATCTTTATTAACAACCCTGGTTAGGCAAACAATATGATTTATAAAATCCACTTTCTTAAAAGAAAGGCCTTCAAAAGGACTTTGTTGAATATTTTTCAACTTTTATACTGAGGTTTTATTGCCGGTGATGTTTGAAGACAATTGTAACAACGATTTTTGAGAATCCCATCTTTGGACGAAAGAGGGTTTAGGGTCATTGTGTTTAAATGGTGATATTGTTTGAACGGATTGAGCAATTTCAGTAATATTTTTCTTCTGAAAGGAGCTTATAAAATTGGCTTTCTGGACACTATTATGTCTGGTGCTACATATTTTTTTCAAAATATGTAATATAATTTTTGGGGTTTGGGTTCCGTTTTTTTTTTATTCACCCTGTATATGATATTTGTAGTCATTATTACATAACTAAATGTGGGCCATTTTTCTCTTATTCACACTGTTGTGTTGCTAGACAATTTGTGATTTAAACCCCCCGCCTCCCAAAAAAAAATTGCAGGGAGTAAAACTTAAGTATAACACGGACAGTACACTTGCAATAGCGGTACAGGATACACAGCCTAAGCAGATGAAGCGAAAAAGAGCAAAGAAAGTATGGCCAATCTTACCTCGTAGGGTTTCACAGTTCAGTCCAGTGTACTCCGGGGTGCATGCACAGACGAAGCCAATAGCTGGATCTATCGAACACACGCCGCCGTTCAAACATGTGTTTGCATCACAGACTGTAGACCAAGATCAAATGTTACGTTAAGATTGGTATAAAGGTTTGTACAATTAATCTCATTTCTATATTTTTAATTTTTTTTCATAACCAAAGATTTATGTGTTTTCATTACGTCACTTTTGTATTTGTTTTTGTTTTAGGAATTGAGATTGTGAAAGGGTGAGCATTGGTGGCAGATCTCGTACAATGAGTATGTGTGTGTGAGAAGTGGGCATGATGGATGTCAATTCCTGTGAACAGTGACCAAAGTAGAAACAGTAACAGACTGAAAGGGAAGCAACACAGCGTCCGTGGGCCAGAGGCTGGAGTGACTTGGTGAGCTGTCATTGATGACAAGACTAATGGTCTTTGCTTGAATTTTGTCCCAGACACGGATGGTGGAGTTTGGGGCATTGGATCTTGTTTCATTTTAGGGTGGCCAAATTTGACCCTTCTCAGCACACTTGTTTTCAAATCAACTTGCCAGGGTTGATGATCGTTGTGAATCCGCCCGAGGGCGTGATGTCCCCTGGGGCACTGATCAGCTCCTGGTTGGGTCCGATGGAGGAAAAGATTTGTACAGTGTGTTGCTGGTTCTCGTTGAATGCCGGCAACGTGAAGGTTTGCTCCCCGAAGCCCAGTATTTGCTCCTGTAGATTGGTGCTGCCGTATGGCCCGTAGCGGATTATGTAGTTTTCTGCAGCCCCATTTGTGGGCGGGAACCAGTTCAGGGTGACTGTCTTGTCTGGGTTCTGCTCCATGAGCGTCAGGCTGGGCGGTTCGGGAACTGTGAGCAAAAAAGGAAAAACAATTAGTGTTCTACTTTCTTTTCACACTTAGCAGTTTTATGAAATAGTTTGTGAACTGTTCAGTAATCTATTCTGTACTCTCACATGCACCCATTTGTACTCCATATAAGGAGTTGTTTATGACTTTTTGCGAGATGGACATTCCATAATATAGTCAGAGGGGTGTTTCATAAAACACAAAGTAAATTTGCATCCAGACTCCAACCGGTCTAAACAGTGTGTTAAAACTAGCCAAGCACACATTTATTCCCTTATTAAATTTTTGGCAAACAGTTGGGGCAACGTCTGATTATAATCTCTAGGAAGAAGACCCTGGTATTGTATAAAATCATGAAATCTACAAGATCTGGGCCAAATTATACAATTATATTCACTTTAGCACAAAAAATGGGACATTTTAAGCTTACTTCACCCATTGGCATGAGCACGTTTTTTTTTAAAACTAGATAGGTTCTATCCTTGCATAGTGAGCATGTTAAAACTGAGACCTGGAAGTGTCGAATTCAATTGTTAGTGGAATTTGAAAATTAGGCCCTAATAACCAGAAGGAATTTGTTTTTTACATAGACAACGAACCTGTGGACTGTTGGGCGCTGGCAACAACTGATGGGATTCCCCCAATGACTCCAGAGACTTCCACGGAATAGTCGGTTCCTGGTGTCAAGCCTGGTACAACCTGGCCTGGGTTGGCTCCTGCTGGTACAGTGAACGTCTGCTCAAACAACCACAGGGGAAAAAAACAAGTAAAATTCATCAATTGGAAGTCGCAGAAAGGGCTCACAGTAGCATACACCACTTTTAAACCTGACAGTTGAGGATCATTATGTGCCCCAGGCACAAGTACCCCTTCAATGGTCAGATAAGGAGAGAGACCTAGACTGGTTGCCAGTCCATCCACTGCGTATTTCCAATGATCCAAAGTTATAGGGGGTGGGGATTAGTCTGGGAGACCATCGCAAGTTAAATTCAAATGTATTCGCGCGCCTGATGCTCACATGAAAACGAACAGCTTTGGCACATTCAGGAAGTCATGCGTACTTCAAGCACGAACCAGTAAATTTCATTTGATCAATAACTTTGATTTCATCTTGGTTGGTATATTTTAACATAAACTAAATTTCTTTATTACTGTTTTTGAAATCTGCAACCTCCAAAAAATTGTTTTATTTTAGGCTGCTCATGAGCACCCTGCGAGTCAACTGGTCCCATCAATTCTGACGGATACAGAAACATATCTAGTCTACCCAGAAAGAAAAGAATTGTTGTCAAGCTGCAAATAATTTATGCAGAGTATTTATCCAACAAGTAAACATGGGCCTTTTCTTTTTATTCAATAGGCTTATCTCATTCAAAAGTGGAAAATTCAGATGTATTATACACACACAACAATTTAAAAAAATAGATCAAAAGCATTTGACGCCTTGACAATAAAAAACTCATTATTCACAAACATATTTCACACTTAAGATGCATGCATGTCCAAAATTGAAAAATATTTTTCAAAAATGCCCTATCCTTGTTGCTTCATTTTGCCAACTTCAACAACACATCAACTCTTGCCAATAGTCATAATTAGAATAATAACTAACATGCTTCTCATTGCTATCTCCTGCATTTGTCAATGTCAAAATGTAGTTTTCAAAGCCGGCAAGGGCGTTGTGTTGCCAGGCAACGTCCATCGTCGTTGTGGTGACAGGAGTGGTGCTCAATTGGTAATCAAACGCCACAGCAGGAGCTGTAAAACAAAAACAAAATAATTCTTAATTTCCTTTAGTGTTTTTTCAATACCTTCTTTCCCCCAAAAGAAACTTATGCTCCTTGTTCTAACTCCTTTGCACTGTCTAATTTTAGCACACATTAAAAAAAAAATCTTTGAGTTAGGAGAGAATGCAAAATAAAACAGGCAGTAAATTGAGGTTTACCTTGAGGTTTTACGACAATCAGGACTCAACCTCGCGTAAACATTTGTTTAATTTTGCCATTTTTCCTTTAGTATCCCTGTGATTTTGTTAATTTGGAATTTTTTTCCAAAACAACTTCAAAGAATACGATGTTCTTTAACGAATAAATTGTGGTTCTTTTTTTTTTTAGTATTTACAGTCATGTGGTTGCTAAGGCATAGCAACTGCCGTTATTATAGCAGAGCAGTGAAATGCATGCACCACAAAAAACCACGGCCTTTTGAACGTTGTGTTTCTCAGAAAATATGCTCAGTACAATTGAAATGTTTAATTATAACGGAAGAAGAAATTTTAAACTTCATGTCAGTGAAAAAATTGCCGTCATCGATGCAGAAACATTAATACTGGTTACTGGTGTAGCTGACATTTAAGTCTGGAAGAAATCGTTCAAAAACTTCCCCAAATCTATTTACTTATATCAATTTCTAGCAATTTCTCCAAATTGTTATTTCACGAGTAGGTGAACACATATCATCTAAGTGTATTCCGAATTTCAGCTTAATCTGTTGTTGCAAACACTAGTGTTACAACTAGAACTATCTCCATGGACAATTTCGACGAGGATTTTCAGCAAAGCGCCTTAGGCGCTACGGTTGACCGATTTTGGCCAAGCAACACAATAACGTATGGTAAATTAGCATATTCATTAGCGTCACTCGGCGTGTTTTTGCCCGAGTCTCGGTATCGACCAATGGAAGCCAGCAAAAAGGGTGATATCTATCAATTAATAACTCGTGAAGGAGGCTTTTCTCCAAATTTTTACTGCACACCATAATGAATAGGAACCTTATTAATATTTGTGAGGCTTGAAAAGATTGACAGATATTGCAAACACCAGTGTTACAACTTTCAAAAATGCACGTAGCCAGGCCTATTTTCCAATTTCAACAAAAGTAATGAGCATGTCACAACGATTTTTAGCACATACTTGGATCATTATAAGGGAAATAAATCCTGAAAGTTGCATGAAGATACGGTCTCCCAAACTGGAGAAATTAATTTTCAAAGATTTCACCCACCAACGTCAGCATGTCTGTGTACATGTAGTTTCATTCAAAATAAAGTGTTACGTAACCTTTAGAAATCGCCCTTCGCAACCACATGACTGTTTAAAGGCAATTCCTAAAAAAAAAGCTTTGTATGTTGCGCTTGTTCACACTTGAGCTGAATTTAGACTTGGCCCGAGTTGGGTGCTGCTGTATAGTCAGGCAGATTGGTGCACAATATGATGGACTTGTTCATTTGATGATAAAAACATGCAATTTGGTACGCAGTCAGAGTATGTCATGGAAAAGATATTTGGCTGTAGGGCCATTGCAGATTTGTCCTTTGAAAAAAATATCACAGACTAACATGCCATGGCCGCCATTTTGACAATTTTCAAAGGACAAATCTGCGATGGCCCTATTATAGCCAAATGTCTTTCCCATGACATACTCTGACTGTGTGCCAAATTCCATCATGCCTGTATCATCAAACTGAACAATCTTATCACCAATCTGCTGTACTAGTATGCATACACTCACACACACTGAATTGGTACATGTGGTGATATGGCACTTGTTGCACTTAGGGTACAATATTGATGATGGACTTCGAGGCTGCGTTGTGATGGCAGTGTGTGTTGTACATATAATCTTAAGTCTGACTGGAGTCAAGTCTAAGTCTAACTGGAGTCAAGTATTAATTCAAAAGCTCAATTGGAAAAAATGATAACTTAGCGTGGACCGCTTTGTTTTTTCCATTTATCGTCTCCTTGGAAAGTCCATAACTTTTGTATCAATTCAAATGATAAATTCAAATTTAAAATTTATTTTCTAGGGTGCCACACCCACACAGTCGTGGACCATTTATAATCATTTTTTGGGGGGCATGACCGACATGTATCATTTCACAAAGTCTCCTGAGTTGTAGATGAATTTTACCAATTAAGTCAGTCACGTAGTATCATAGACTATCCATTCTCAAAGCTATTGGCAAGCAAGTCAAAACAACTGTGACTTAAAGGTAGAGTCCATCATTTGTAATTTGTGCATTTTGTTCGTTTGAAGCAACAAAAGAGTTCAAAATCTAATGAAGGATACTAAGCAACTAACCTGATGAAGTTTCAGCTAAGCTTCAGCTGTACATTCCGAGAAAAACAGCATTCTAAGATCTCAATTTCAAATCAAAAGTTGCTGAATCATGTTTTGAATTGTTTTGAATTGCAACTATACGTGACGTCGCGCACTGATCCGACGAATTATAACAACCGCGCGCGCGCGTGTGCGTCGTTCGAATACTTGTGCGCGCTTCGCTAAATAACAAAACGAACTACTAATTTAAATTTTCCTACGGTGCTTCTTAAGAATCACCGTTGGAAATGCCTTCTTTCGTTGATTACTTCAAAATGACAGCTTCCCAGAAAGAATAATTTCACAGGGAGTTTAGTCTCCTTACTATCTTTCAACCAAGTTAGTTTTTCAACAATAATTACGCCAGTTACTTTTCGGATGGCTGCAAATGATGGACTCTACCTTTAAAGGCATTCCTCTGTCACCTGTTCCTCCTCTGATACATGTCACCGTTGTGATTTGACTTGTGACTGACTTGCCACAGACCCATGACTTGACTTGGGACAGACTCATGATTTGACTTGCCACTGACTCGTGATCGACTGAATCTCAACTTGTACTTGACTTGTGACTTATGACTTGACTTGTGATGGACTTGATTAAAGCACCGAAAAAAAACCCTCAGAATTCTGTTTCACACATGCAGAGTTAATTTCCAAAACAAGACACATCCATTTGAAGAAAAACAAAAGTTACAAATTTGCACAGTTATGAAACTTTTAAAACCGGCCTCAGGCCGACCTTGCGACGACACAAATCAGTCGGCGACTGACTTTTCAGGATCAAGCTGCACCTGAGGTACGACCGTCGGAAACAAATCAGTCGCCGATTTTTTGCAACCTGAGTGTAACTGCGACGATATTAAGATGATCGGCATCAGCCGGTGCTAAAAAAAATCAACAGTCGCAAGAGTAGAAAAATTTCAACTTCTGCGACGTGTTCCGCAACCATTACACGATTTCTCAGTTTCACCTGAGCACTATTTTTCTGCTTGATGACGACGGTTTTGTCATGGCGCAAGCAAATCGTGGGTCGACCTGAGGCCGGCTTCATGAATATAAACAATATAACAGCTGTTTCTAAACTTCATTTTCAATGTATGTATTCTGAAATTGTATTCAACTATATAACAGCCATCAAAACTATCTTTGGGCAGCCAGGAGAGGGCCAGGTTCTAAAAGGCAACAAAATGGCATTTATCACGTTTTGGAAATAAAATCTTTAGTTACTAATGTTCTGATCTTTATGATGGTGAGCCAAAAAAACAGAACCAGGACTTACTAGTTGTGGCAGTGTCAGTGCCCAGCAGGAAGGTACCCGCGCCACCAGTGTTGATGCCTGTCACCACCGTGCTGTACTCAGTGCTAGGCTGGAGACCGGTGAAAGTGTGGGACAGCATTGCTGGGTCGTTAACGACGATTTCTTCATGGATGGTTCCATCATTACGGACCAGGAGAATGTGGTAGCCTGCACCCTCGTAGCGGTCGTAGTTGAGCTGCAGCGAACTGGACGTGGCTCCACTAAGGTTCACATTATCTGGAAGAAGAAATAGTGCAAAGTTGTGTAGGGCAATTCCATGAGAATGTGGACATGGATGAGAAATGGAAAACTTGTATCTCCAAAATTATACAAGCACCATAATCTCAAATGTGGTATCAAATTAAAGAGGACAACAAGACCTTTCATTTGAGTGATGTGCCAGTGAGATGGAATATGATTAAGTGTATTTTTGTCCCAAAAAAATGCTATTTTGCCTAAAATTATGGTAGTCAGTTTGGCACTTGTTTTTATATGAAAAAGTGTTATTGTGAGTTTTTGTTTTGTTAGGAAGAGAAAGGGTTCATATTTAATGTCAAAAGAGTTTTTTGTTTGATTATTAGTTTCTTAAATTTATACCTTGTACCAAATATGGGCGGACACACTGCAATGTGAGTTACCATAACATGAGTAACCAAAATAAATCCTTCTGGAGATTTTATGAATGATAATTAATTATAATGGTAGAATACTTCTTACGCCCTCATGATGTCAGGGCACTAAAAAGATTTTTCCATCAGTGCGCTCGCAGCAAGAGGAAATTTCAAATGCAAGGTATTTAATATTTCAGTCTCTTTCTTGTGTTACATGACTTACCAATACAAAAATTACTGCCAAACCAATAGAAGTTCATCTGTTGGGCCTTTTTCAGTTGATAGTTTGCTCACTTAATTTCAAGAGACCTTCTGTGAGAAAAACCAACCCTAACTGCTTTGACTTTTGGAATAAGAGCACAGAGTTGATGGAAGACCATCCCCCTCCAAATGCAACATAATTACCATGGAACTGCCCTTTAGTAAAGTGTTTTTTATTCCCCCCCCCCCCGTTTTTTTTATTTGTACAGCTCTAAGTGGGAAAAGGAGGCTATAGGGCTGTCCTGAATATACTGAATATTCAAATATTCAAATAGCAATTTGCTGGTTAGTTTATTCGAAAATTAAATAAAAAGTATGCACGTACACGTAAACACAAGTTATTTTAATCGTAAAGTTACGATGCTTTATTGTCAGATGCCACTTTTTTGTCAATTACAGTTTATTGTTCCCATCCTTTTAGCAGGTTCAAGTCCTTGACAATTATAGCAATAGGCCTACTGCAAAACACTCCAGCGGCCCATAATATCGGCCCAGCAAATAAATTTAAACTGGTGCGCTTTGCGTACAAAAAAAGAAATTAGTACATACAAACTTCACTTACAATTCGACACTGGGTAGCCAGGCTGGCTGACCTGGGTACCACTGGTGGAGTACACAAAGATATTCTGGCCGTTGTCAACCACTGGCGCAGTGAACGTTGTCTGGCCTAACGTCAGGTCTTGGCTCACAACCTGCCCGTCTGCTCCGACGTAGGAGACACGGTATCCCTCGTAGATGTTGGTAGGAGTGTTTGGAGGCGGGCTCCAGGTCAAGACAGTGTCAGTGGCCGTGGTAGCCACTTGGATATTGGTTGGCGGTAACGGAACTGCATGGAGAAAATCAAGTTTTGAATTAGTGACGGATATCCGTGTTTAATGTTATAATGATGGAAAATGAACATTTAATAAAGGGTTTTGCCATACATCAACATAAAACCCCATTTCCTTAGAACTCGTCAAAATGACAAAAAAAACACATTTGTTTGATGCTACCCGCTGCGCACGTTCTGTACCAACCAGCTAACCCCAGCAAGCTCTGTGGTCGAGTGTTAAGACGTCTGCACTAGTAAGCAGGAGGTTATGGGTTCGAGTCCCACTCAAGTAATCTTGTGAATTTTCTCACAAGCTCACTGACAGCAATGAGCATACAGTGCTTTATACGAGGGATACATCGGTGAAAGACAAAATTGACCGTGTTAATATGTTTACACACCATTTAAACTTTGCAACATTTAGCCAGTTTTCAAAGGTAATCCCTGCCCAAGTATGCGTGTGTCACCTAAGGATAACAGGGGCAGATCCAGGAATTTTAGCAGGGGGGGAAAGGTTTCATCAGCAATAAATTCTGAAATGAAAACAGGTTTCTTTCTCCGGACACTTGGCCTCCGAAAATCAATAGATGGGAGGGGTAGGGAGGGGGAGGGCTGGCTCGTACCATACTATCAATGGGGGCGCTGTTCAAACCAACGATTATTAACACTATATTACAGAGTAGTGTACAAATACCCCCTAACCAAGCCAACATAGGGCTAGATAGCTCAGTTGGTAGAGCACCAGAGCGGCAATCCAGTGGGTGCAGGTTCAAACCCCGCTCCATTCAATTTCTTTGTTCAACTTTGAAACACTTATTTTAATGCACCTAGTCAGTTCCCTTTATGGTTCATTTAACAACGATGAAAGAAAACATTTGGAGAGTCACCTACTTGTTGTTTCGGCCACCATGCCACCAGGGATGTCCACGCCATTGAGGTGAGCTGTCAGACCGATGGTGTAATGCTGGCCAGGGGTCAGTCCCATGAAGGCATGGTTGACAGTCTGGGAGTCAGCAATGGTGACTTCCTGGGTGCTACCGTCCCCTAGGTTGGTCAGTAGTAAGGTGTAGGTGGCACCGTCAATCTGTTCCCAGGCTGTTTGGATCAGGTCGGTCGTCACTGCCTGGGTAGCGATGGAAGTACCTGAAGAAGGGAATAAAATCAACCACGATTTTCGTTTTGGTGAACCAGTTAAAGATGCGTTCCCCAAACTTTTACATTTTCAATGTTTCATCTCAGACAATTTAGTTGTTGTTTTTTTCAATTGCTATTTTCCTAGAAATATAAAAGTTATTCACTTTGAATGAGACATTGAACAAAAATTCCACCGTAAGTCCTGGTTATTGAATTATTTGTTCACAATTCAAATTACAAGCTGCTAGACAGAAACCCAGCTCCCACAGGGCGCCACTTTCAGAGGGTTTCAGAAGCCCATAATTGTTCCGTTAAAACAATACGTACAACATATTTTAAAAAGTAGGAGAAAAATATTCATTTTTTTGAAAAGCATGCAACTTGAATATGTGGTTTATATATTAAGTACAAATTCATTGCCCACATTTCATGGCTAGCTTTTTATGTTTATCACATTTTACTATACCTCATACATATTCATGATCGAGAGCCGAACTCTCACTGGTCAAATCACCATCACGTGCCAGATGTTATTCTTGCTGTTTACCAAACGCGCGCGCAAGGATTCACGCACATTGTAAATATGCATGCGTAGTAGACTGTTGCATGGGTTACCCATGCGACAGTCTACTACGCATGCGCTTTACAGAGCAATCGAGGAACTGTCGCACGGGTGCAGTACGCACGCGCGAACATCGCCCAGGAGAGATGCATGGTTGCACGGTACGGTTCGCGTAAATGTTAATTTCCAGAGCTCAACTGTTATGCCGTACTGGAGAAAATGTATATACCGTGTAAAGATGTCTCCTGTACAAAAGAAAGTTGGACACATTGCAAACAACTATTTTTACAACTGTAGTAACTGTATTATATTGCAAACGAACCGAACTAGTAATTGAAGTTGAGCAACAATATTCTTTTGGTGAGCTGTACAAGTTTCCGCGAATTTTGTTTTAGGTCCATGTAATAAAAAAAAAAATTGGCAACTGAATATGTATGAGGTATAGTAAAACAAATATAACATGGTTTATTTCGGGTGGACAGTCGATATTAGCTCCCCTCGGTATTGGAAGTTGACAAACTAGTTCCCTCGGCTTTGCCTCAGGAACTAGTTTGTCGGGGAGCCAATATCGACTGTCCACCCTCAAACCATGTTATATTTGTATAATATTTCAGTATACTTGTTGAACTTGAAACAGGATGCATCTACAACAGTGTTGTGGAATGGGGCAAGGGAAGAATCTAGTATCCACACGCCACTTCTTTGGTTGTGTACAAAGTCTGTGAAGAGTCGAGTGCATTTTCAAAGTATTTTCAAACAAAATTGGAAATGTTTCCCAGTCCCAGATTCATGTTTTTGCAATGTTTGCAATAACTGACCTTCATTGAGATAATATATGAAATGCACTGCAAGATACCTCTGTCGAAGTTCTGCAGCTTACTACTTGAGTTTCTGATGGAGATTATACAAAGTATTTTTATTACAGAATTAATGTAACTTAATAACAGAAGTAACAATGATTTCAGGTAATACATTGAAAAATTGCTGATTTATCATCATTTCATTCGGGTCTCTCAGATATGGGCTACAATAAGAAGCACATTATACAATTTCACAATTAATGTTTCTGTTGCAACCAAACAATTAATGTGTCTGACAAGTATTCAGTTAAAAGGAACTTCCACCTACTTGTGCTTGCTGGGTCAGCCAAGGCGCCCACTACAACCCGCGCTCCCCCAACAACTGCATCTACCCCAACTTCATACGTGAGCCCGGCTGGCAACCCAGTTATCGTATACGGTGCCGCGGCGCTGGCAATGTCTACGGGGATCAGGTTGGTGTACGATCCGTCCTGGCTGATAACGTTGACTAGGTATCTCTCCGCAGTGCCAGTAAGGGCAGTGTTCCATGAGACCGTCATGGTGTGCGCGGTGGCACTGTTTAACTGCACATTCGGGGGTGTTTCTGAAAAGAAAGCGGACAGTTTTTGTTTGAATAAAATGCTAGTATAAGCCCCTCAAGTATAGACTAATTCGCCAACAGCCATTTTCTGCGGTGGCACCAGGCTCGCGCGATCTATGCTCAGGTAATACACATGCACTCCGGGCAGGGCTCGTTCAACCAATAGGGTTACCAAGGTACACGCGCGCCTCGTCTTTAAGAACATGTGTGGCTTGCACCCGGGCACAAAACACTGCAGAAATGGCTTCTAATTTTGTTCAGCGAATTACAACTATGTATCATTATGTTTAACAATTAATCATTATTTCTGTATCGATTCACAATCAAATGGCAATTTGGTTTGCAAAGTCATTTTCCTGGAAGGAGTTTTGATTTCAGATAAAGGATGCCTTCATCCTCACAAGTTGTTTTGATGAATCTAGCCAAAATTGTAATCCAACAGTTGGCACAATGATCGAGAACAAAAGTTCATGACCACGAAACAAACTTTGCTATTCCGAACATACCTTTCGTCTAAAGTTTATGAAAAAATTTACTCAGCATTGGCTTCCAAAAATTGCTATAAGAGGCTCCTCTACCAAATAATCTTTTGTGAACAGCACTGTGTTTGTATACAGTGTTATACGTCGGTGAAGAACAAAAAACCTTATATTGATTGTGTTTGTAGTCGTTTTAACTATAATTGTCGAAAATGACCAAGTTAGACAAAAAAATATATAGAATATATGTCGCTCGCTCTGTTTAATAACATAGGTATAAATGTCACATAATTTGCATACACTATACACCAGTTATTTCTATTTTAATAGAAAAACCAGAAAATTCAGTAGTCCACCACTGATCAAAGTGATTTAAGCATTGATGAATATCCTTTGAATGCAATGGACGAAAATTTGCAAAGGAAAACAGCATTCTCATTCCAGAAAAAGACTTGATTCATTCCTCATGTATACAAACATGAAATCTGACAGGAGAAATAATGTCTCAGTCTTGATTCAAATTAAACCTCTCATTTGAGTGTGAAAGCCTGTGTGTAATCTCTGAATAACTTCAGATATCAAGGATGATTTCAGTAATCATTTTTTTCCAGATGAGTGAAAGAACGTGCTCGTTTATTACAAATGTGCTTTATCAAATTTAATTGTTTTTAAGGGAAAAAACTCATTAATCCCGGTCACTTTCTTTCTGGCTCACAGTGTATGGGTACTTACTTGTGATACCAGTCGCCACGCCAGCAAACTTGCTCTCCCCATTGACGATTTCATCCAGGACCAATTCGTAGCTCATTCCTTCGGCAAGACCCACCAGAGTGAAAGAGCTCTCTGTGGGCGGGATGTCATTGACGACTACCGCGTTGCCGGCGTTGTCCAAGACGGTTATTCGGTAGCTCTGTAGTCCCTGTGTTGTGCTGGGAGTCCAAGTTAGATGCATGCCATGGTCCGTGATCGCCTCGAGTTGCGGATTTAGTCCAGTTGCAGCTGCAAACAGAGAAGATATCAAAAATTATAACGCATCATTTAGAAAATGACAGAAAGTAAAGGTAGGATTTCTATTTAGTGTGCTTTTGCAAAGTAAAGGCTGGTTCCACAGGCGTCGCAAGGGGGGTGGGACAGGGGGGATGATTGCAACCCTCCCCCACCAGAAAAGCAAAAAAAAAGGAGAATAAAAACCAAGGAAATAAAAGGAAAAAGAGGTGTGAAGTCATATTTGATATTAATTTAATACACATTTAATGGCGTCTTCTGGGGTGTCAATGGGGATGGGGTGGGCAAATGTCCCCTACCCACCCTAAAAATAAAAGATAAATTGAGAATATGCTAGTGAAAGTACAAGGAATTTGGGGGGGGGGGAGAAATGTGCTTTGCCCCTCCCCTAGAAAAAATCCTGGCGACGCCCATGGCTGGTTCATTGTCACTGCAAAGGAGAATGCTTCCTAGGATTTGTGTCTTCACAGCAAGTATCCATTGTGTGAATTCACAAAAGTTTAACAAATTTTGTCTCCAGCCATTTTTGCTTGGACTGTCGGTAATACCAATAAAATTTGGCACTAGATCCCAATAATCTCCAAACATAGCTCAGGCATGTGCTTCAGTTTGAACATACATGTAGTATGCAACTGTGCATGAGAAATGCTCAACTTTTCTTGGGTCCCACTATCAAAGTTTCCTAAGCTGGATTTGATACATTATGTTGATAGCACCAGAGTTGTACGACTTGTGACTCAGACTCAGACTCCAGTCTGCCTCGAGTCCCATTTTCCATGACTCGAACTCGAGTCACAATGACAAAAGACTTCGATTCGGATTTGGACTCAGATTCGACCCTGCGGACTCGGGATTCAACCAAAATTACCAGAAATCACTTTTTTTCCAATATATATAGTACTTTTTAGTTAAAGGTGACTCATGACTCGGGTACGGACTTGACTTTTGTGACTCGTGACTTGGACTAGGACTGGACCTGCATGACTCTGACTGATACTCTGACTCGATGTTTGGTGACTCAAATACAAGTCTGGATAGCATCCTTTATCACCGTGGTAGATTGACTCCGCTTAATGTTAGGGGCTGGATACATATTCAGGTTCAAAATCAAAAATCCTAGGAGGCATCCGGCACTGACCTGGTAACACTGGAGTGATAACGGCGGAGTCGCTCTTAATATCAATGTTTCCCGTGTTCACAACATTCTTCAGAGTGTAACTATAAGTCACCCCATTCTCCAGGTTGTCCAACATGACCCCTGTGGTTCCCGGCGCGTAGGTGTAGACCCTGGGCTGACCCCCTTGAGGTGTGATGATTATCTCATAGTAGCCCACAGGGGCTTGGGCTGCGTCCCAGGTCAGGGTTCCTGTGGTGCTGCTCGTCCTGTGCAGGATGCCATTAGATGGCGGGTACGGCACTAAAAGAGGGAACAAATTGGGAGAGGTTGAAGTTAGAAATAGACCATCAGACTTGATGTACTCTCCTTGCGTTGATGGAATTAAAAAAATTAGAAAAAGGCTTTTTAAAATGAGAGGCTATTTGAGGAGCATGCAGTAGGCACGGAGGGTGAGGCTGGGGTATTAGTCCAACATTACTTGTTTTGGAGTTGTGGGCACCACATGCCACTTGTACAATACAGTTTTGTTGGTGACAAGAACCTTGTCAAGACACTTGAATCCCCCAAACTTTGTCTAAACCTTCCTCGCGATAAAAATTCCCAAAAATACAGCCCTTGACACTGCTGCTCTCATAATTGTGCTCTTTGCATGGAGCATGTGTATTCATGGTCTCTGACTCATGTGCAATGGTACCCTCGCAGGGATCAGGTATGTTGTGTTCTTAGGCAAGACACTTTATGGCAATTGTCACACTTCAACTGGAGGTATTAATGGATGCTTGTTGGACAGAGAGCAGGTTACATGTATCTTGAACTGCTGCATGACAAGTGATCTCTTGGATTGGTGAGACACACCACATTGATATTAACATATCTCACTTTACCAGTGTAAGTATTTTCAGCAATGTTAACTTCCACCGGCAGGCCATCTTGTAGAACCGCATCCACTCTCACCGTGTACTCCTCGGCCACGTTCAGCCCCGGGAAGGTGTGTGTCGCACCAGCCACTGCGTCAACCGTGGCTTGAGCAATGGTTGTACCTGCAGGCTGCTGCAGGCTGATCAGATACTGCCCAACATTGTCAGCAGGATTGGGTGCGTCGGCCCAGCTGATGGTAATAGATTCGTGCGTGGGTACAGCAAGTACGGCATGGGGCAACTCTAGAAGAGAGAAAATTATTATGGCACTTAAGGAATGCTGAGGATAGCAAATTAAAACAAGTGACTTAATTCAATTAATACACTTTGCAATATGTGGGCACCATCTTTTTACGTGGGCGCACCCTTCAAAGAGGACACTATCAGACAATAGGTGGCGCTCTTATTAAAGACGTTCGTGTGACGTTACAAAGGGGCACTTGTGAAAAAAGGCCGATCCTGAAAAAAAGGTCGTTCATGAAAAAGGCCTAGCAAATTTCAAAAATGACTAGCGAATTCCCCCCCCCCCTTCCTCCGGATACGCCACTGGCACTCCAGACTCCATAAGAACCAGTTTATAAAAATGGGTCTGGGAAATAGACAAGGCAATGTAAGAAGCTCTTGAATGTCCACACTCACCTATAGCCACAAAGCACTCGATTTGGATGGTGATAAAATGAATGGGGGAAAAGGAAAAAAGAAGATCACTTACGAATGTTGTAATTAACTGCGGGTAATGCCGTCAGGGCCGAGCTCGTACTCCTAGTGGTGCCTTTCACTGTGTGAAATGAGTACGCCGCCACGCCATCAGCGACCAAATACCTGAAGGACGTCTCGGTCTTAGGGATGAGATCGCTTCCCACTTCGACCCCATTCGCATCATAGTAAACGGCCTCATAGTTATCAAAGTCTCCTGCAGTGGCCTGCCATTTGAACTCCACCACCAGGCTGCCGAGGAATTGGATGGTCACCCCGGTAGGAATGGGTGGCGCTGCATTGGGGTAGGGGGGGGGGAGACAGAGAGAAGGGAACACCAAAATTACTACTTTGTATTGCCAATGGGGCCCATGCAATGTAAAAAATTTTCATGTAATTCTTGAAACTACACGAGTCCCATGTAAAAAACTGCCAATTATCGGGATTTTTCAAGTGTACTAGAACCTTATTGGTTTAAATGCTAATGTAATTTTCCATATTTTCCAAAAGCGTGATGTCATTTCAGCATCAAAATTTGCAAGAATTTCGATGTTTTGCTGTTGTAAATGTTCTTTGCTTTGGCTATGCATTGTTGTGTCAGTACATGGCAGTAGGCCAATCAGCAAACTGTCCTCACATGTTTTCAAAGAGCAATTTTTTTGGCTCACAATTTGAACACAAAACCCCTATTTATCTGAACAGTGTTTGCTTGAAATGACATCATAGCAACAGCGCACTCAGTTGTCTGGAAAGCATGAAAAATTGTAAATGTTTAAAGAAGTGCACTTTTCATACATTTAAGAGAATAAAGTAGCAACAAATGTGTTTCTTAGGAATATTCATCTAAGTACAACCTCTAATGCAACTGCTGCGTTCTTGGGTGGAATGCAGAACACCACCGACTCCGAGTTTGACCTTAATTGACCGTCACTTAAAGGGAATTTATACAACATTTGCAAACTTCAAAAACAAAACCACCAAATTGTTATAAAATACCTTATATTACTGAACTGTTACTGAATGATACTTGATAGTCTGAAGCATCCTGTAAAATCATGGCACCTGGTGTATTGGCATTTTCAAGGAAAGTGGTCTTTTGTACCAATTTCCAACGCTGGTTGGCCGACCAGCATTGGAAAAAATACTGGCTTTTTTTCAAATACTGCCTCACAATTCACCATATTTAGTTTGTCCAGAAAGAATTATGCAACCTGATGCTACTTCGGCAGTTGTGTACAAAGTCTATGGCAAGTCAAGAATTTTTTTAAAAGTATTTCCTAACAAAACACGTTTACCATTTGCTATACATGCTATAGGCACTCCATACTTTATTGCAACCTTTGACCTTGTGATGAATACTGGGTAATTGTGTTGTTATAACTAAGATGGCGGATTGTCTGCAATCACGAATGAATAAACAATCAATCTAAATCTGATAAGAATTAAAGATCCTTTCGTATCCAAATTCAACAGTAACCTTGCCCGTTACAATTTGGCTTAGTCGGCAGGATTTGTCAAAGGTCTTCGTGATATTAGGACCGGAAAATTGAACATTTACGGTTCGTGTTTTTTGCTATATCCATGTGCTGTCAGTCATCATCCACATTGACAGAGAACTGTAGCGATTGTAGCGATAAACCCAATTATCGTAGTGAACCAGAAACTGTTAGGCTACTAATTGAACGTCTGTGCTGTTGTCAGGAAGACTAATTGAGCCATTCTGTTGTCGTAGCTATGGATAAATCATCTCAATCGATTTACCGCCGACCACATTGGCCGACTTTGTGAACTAAACCATATTGATGTGACCGCCATCAAAACCAAACCAGAACGCATAACTTGTCTCACCAAATTGCCACACATGATAGGAGAGTTTCCTCCTGCCAAACCGAGTGAAGAGACCCTTGATCTGCTCAAGATAATTCAGCAACTTGAGGCAAATCGGCGCCATTCAGACACTCGCTAGTGCTGTTGCTGAATCTGCCAAAACGCCTCCTGTCGTGAATGTGGGCCCCAAATTACCTGACTTTCACAAGCTAGGGACTGATGATGATGTGGCATGTTACCTGAGTACCTTTGAGCGTCTGGCAACGGTTGCCAAAAACCCCAAAGAGCAGTGGCCCTGCCTATAGGAACCCTATCTCACCGGCAAAGCCCAGAAAGCATTCCACTCCTTGAGCGATACCGATAAACAGGACTATGACAAGATCGTGGAGGTCATCCACAATCACTTCTTCTCGACTCCCGAGGCGTATCGGCTGCAATACAAGACGGATGTGAAAAAAATCGGATGAGATATTCGAAGAGTTCGCTCAGAGGAACTTCAACAAATGGGTTTAGCTATCAAAAGAAAAACTGAAAAATGCAGACACCAAACGAACATTCAACCTCGTCTTGACAGATCAATTCCTGTCTGTCATAGGGGATGAACAACTTCGTCTGAAACTGAGGGAGAAAAAGTTCGCCTCGCTGATGGAAACAGCCAAGACAGCCGATGAACTCATCCTTTATTGCCGATCAAACAATCTCCAGTCGCCTACCTGACCCCAACCGAAACCGGACTTACCGCCATCCACCACTACTGGCTGTACTGAACCATCCTTGTCGCAACCCGTACAACATTGTGTCCTACAAGTGCAACCAAATTGGACACAAGGCTGTAGGTGGTGCCCCCACGCCAGTGCCAAGTGCATTTGAGCATAACCCCACTCATGCTGAACAGTTCCAGCAATACTTGCGCCCTGCGTGTCATAAGAGACACAGTGACAGCCTGAGAGAACCCCTGAGGCGAATGGAGTTCCGGGCCCTGATATCTGCTCCAACCCCATTCTAGCCCACAAGCGTTCCCGTGATTATTGGTGATGATGGTGAGATGATATCTTCCGATGTTGACACTGCTAATACACTCAATGAGTATCCGTCTTCACAGATGAGGACATGAACAAGATACCAGATCCTACCAAGGTCTTCACAGGGAGTGTTGTTGAGGAACTTACTGAAGTTGATATTTCATCTGACTTGGTGTTCAACAAACGCAGCAGGTTGAAATCGGGGAAAGCTCCTGGAGAGGATTGCATCTACTCAACTGTTCTCAAAGAAGTAGCAATGGAAGTCAGTTATCCTCTCAGCATTATCTTCAACGAGAGCCTCAAAAATTCTGAAGTGCCATGCGACTAGAAGAATGCCAATGTAGCCCCGTTGTTTAAAAAGGGTTCCAGAAGTTGTAAATCCAATCATAGACCAGTAGCCTGACATCACAATTGAGTAAGGTTATGGAGTCTATATTAAGAGATGCCATCATCGACCATCTTAATGAGTTCAAGTTGATCAACGAGTCTCAGCATGGGTTCACAAACGGTCGATCATGTCTCACTAATCTGTTGGTATTTTTGGAGGAAGTAACAAAGTACGTAGATGAATGCTACCTGGTTGATATTCTTTACCTTGACTTCAGTAAGGCGTTTGGCAAGGTCCCTCACGTTCATCTTGTCAAGAAGATCCAATGTCCTGAAATGGATTGAAGCATGGTTGTCTGACCATCAACAGCGAGTGATAATCAACGGTTGTAGCTCCGACTGGAGTAGAGTAAAAAGTGGGTTACCACAGGGCTCTGTCCTAGGGCCAACACTGTTCATCAGCTACATCAATGACATCGACGAGAAAGTTGACAGTCACTTGTTAAAGTTTGCAAATGACACAAACGTTTATCTTAAGGTTTCATCTGCAATGGATGCCAACAACCTGCAAGAGGATCTCAATATCATGCATCACTGGTCTTCGCAGAGTGGCAGAAGTTGTTCAATGCTGAGAAATGTAAATGTCTTCATGTCGGGCACCAAAATCTACAGATCAACTACTTTCATGGGGGGTGATCCAATCCAGTCTACATCACAAGAAAACAAGGGCGGATCCAGGGGGGGGCCAAAGGGGGCCATGGCCCCCCCCAAAAACGAAACCAATTTTTTTTTTTTTTTAATGTGACATCGCAATAAAGGCAGGCAATGAGTACACCACCATCTTTTCCTCAAAAAAAATTGGTTAAAGTGGTCAGAAATTGCCTCAGATCGCACCACAGAGCATCTAGAATCCAAAATTTTTTCGGGGCCCTCACGGGCCCCGAACCCCACGCCGTAATTTTTGAGACCCACTTTTTTGGGGGGACCAAATTTTGTTTTTGCCCCCCCCCCCCAAATTGTGTTCTGGATCCGCCCTTGCAAGAAAAGGACCTAGGAGTTATAATTCATCAGTCTCTTAGTGTCAGCAAGCAAGTTGGAGCAGCAGCTTCTAAAGCCCATCAAGTCCTTGATTTGGTCAAGCGTACCTTCTCATACAAGCATCATACTGAAGTTATACAAGTCACTCATCTGGCCCCATTTGGAGTATTGCATGCAGGCATGGAGACCGTACTAACAGAAAGATGTAGATGTCCTGGAAAGAGTTCAGCGTCGCTTCACAAAGATAATTCCAGAGCTCCAACTCTTACTGTATGAACAGAGGCTGGACAGGCTGGGTCTCACAAACCTTGAGACTTGTCGTGTCAGAGGAGATCTGATCGAGGTCTTCAAAATTGCGAAGCGACTAAGGGCATGCGATTTCTTCTCATTCAGCAACTCTACAACTAAGGGACATCAATTCAAAATCTACAAACAGCTCTCTCGTCTCGACATCCGGAGATTCAGCTTTTCTCAGAGAATCATCGACAGATGGAACAGTTTGCCTCCTGAGGCTGTCTTGCAGTGAAAACAGTCAATAGTTTCAAGGACCAGTTGGGACGAATCCTTCGACATAGAAAGGGAGCATGTATGAGCCAGCGAGTAGCAGGCTCCCTGTTCCGTCGCCCTCCACATCCCGGCGAGGATGCGTGGTGAAGTGGAGGACACAGGTAAATACAGGTAAATAAAGGTGAGGAACAACAGGAAGAACACAGTTGGCCAGTGTCATGTTGCCGTCTGAAACAGTTGTCTCCCATGTCGACATTTAACTGTGCCCGAGAGACTGTGATCATCAGTGTTAAAACTTTGGTTCATATGTTGTTCTCACTGCGCTGGAATTTGTTGAGGCCCAAAAATTCAGGTTTTGTTGGTAAAACCCCAAAACAAACAAACGTCACGGAAAATCGAAGGTTGGATTCTGTCACCTGTAATTCAAGTGAAGTTAACCTGCATTCATAATTTCATCATTTTTTGATACAGAGATTGTTTCGATTTATCAAGATTTGGTTCATGTCAAAATGTAATTTGGATAAAATGTAAATGTGTAAAAATGATCACAACTCTAAAATTCCCATCCCACAGACTGAGTGACTGGACTTTGGAGGGGAGAGTGTAGCGGACCACATACGTGTACACATTTATCATTTGCTATACATGCTATAGGTGCTCCATACTTTTATTGTAACCTTTGACCTTGTGATGAATCCTCGGTAATTGTGTTGTTATGACTAAGATGGCGGATTGTCTCCAATCACAAATGAATAGGCCTAAACGATCAATCTAAATCTGGCAAGATCCTTTCGTATCTCAAGTTCCTGTTTAGACAAATTCAACAGTAACCTTGTCCATGTAATACGTACAGTTTCTCAGTCCCAGATAATGTCTTATCATCATTTTTGCAATGACTGACCTTCATTGAAGATATACAATTTGTACATGTATGAAGAAAAAAAGGAAAGACTTCCTTGACATGCTTGAGGAGTTCTGAAGAGGATAACCACCAAGTAGTTTCTTTTCTTGACCCTCCATAGACTTTCTACACAACCGCTTAAACATCTGGCAATATCCTCGACCCTTCATAATCTGCACAGGTAACTCTTGCAACGCACGCGCGTTGTCACACACAAATTGAAGGTGATACTGATAGTGCGTAGAAATAGGACCGCGTAGCTTTAGGAGACTGACAGTGACACTTGACAGGGATACACTTCTTTCCGAAAAGACTTTGAAACTCTTTGTTGACTCTCCATAGACTTTGTACATAACCAACGAAGTGGCGTCTGGATACTACATTCTTTCCGCACTGTTTCCGAACAAGAATTCAGTACATGCATGGCGAACGTGAATGAGTAAAAAGTTTCAAGTCTTCCCAATCTTACCAAACCTCGAAGCACCGCATGCAGCCTTTTAAAAATGGCCGCGTTTTCATGAACCATGACCTCATCAACTGTTTAGACTTTTTTCAAGACTGAGCTCTTAACATTTTTTCAAAAACCAATCAAAGTTACAAACAGAACGATTGTTTTCTTTGCATCTGATAACAATCATGGTAGAGATTGACGAAATGTTTGTCTGTGCATGCTCTCACTGGTCTGCAATTAAAGTTCAGGGAGTAAAAACCCAGAAAGGTGACTGACGAACAAGTAGCAGTTGAAGGTAGGCAAAACTTCGAACCAGACCGGAGCCGGCGAGTTGAAGTTGCTCAATCTACCCGTGCCCTTCAAAATATTCGATTTAATTCTCCGGCCTAACCAACTTTCCATTTGATTACTTAAACGGGAAAAGGTAGGCCTACTTTTTCTAATTTTGACGTTTTCAACCTGATGAAAACTTACGAACGCTTTCTGTTTCAGTGGGCCCCAAAAAATACGCCTGGATAGTGGGTCCGCAAACAATTAGAACTTTGTGAATTAAAAACATTTTCGATGTATAATATTCAAAAGCTAAATCGTTTTAATCGCCAAAAAAAAATCATGAAAAGAAACACATAAACGTTTTATGCCGCAGCATGCTGCTGCCACAAAAGCAATCGTCTCCCCGTAGGCCTAATTTCGGGTACCAACTTGAAAGAATGTAGGCCTACAGGTATTTGACTACCATATGCGTTTAGGCGGAGTCAGACAGCGATTTTTGTTTGTATCGCTGAGCTAAGCACGTACACGTTATTTTATGCATTCATTTTGTTACTAAATTGAAACCTTTACAAAGAAAACCCCTCTGAGATAGGCCTATAACCGCAACGCATACGGTCGATGCACGGGATATCACATGAGAGGAAAGAACTTATAAGCCTAAGTCGACCTTAAGATTCTTCCCGATGATGGTCAGAACTTATTGATTGAAACGTCGACGTTTTCAATCAATCTCTTTTTAGCAGCTATAGTCGTTCTCTTCATGTAAAGTCTCAACTAACATTGTAGGCCTATAATGGGCCTACCTACCTTGTGCTGATGTAGATTGCATCACCGACGCCAATACAGCCACCGCTACCAGAAAAGTTCTCGCCATTTTGGTAAAGTATTCCATCTTCGCGGAGATCCGACCTGAAACAGTTTATATCACAGCTGCGCTTCCCGTTGATCCAACGTCTTATTGAGACGACAAAATTCGTGTTCGCAAGTTACAATCAATATTGTGTCCTTACTCTGAAATTTGTCTATTTTATAATTTATCCGCTGGTAAACGACGTCACTAACTGGACAAGGGTTGTTGCTGAAACTTTTTGTTACATCCTTTTTCGATGTTCCAGTCAAGACGGTCGCAGAGGCTGCTGTATTTGAGGCGTTTCAAAACCAACTCCACAGGTTGCGAAACGCGATAATGATGCGATTACAACACTTTAAATGCTGTGACGAAATTTAGTTTCTGCAGTATATGACCTCCAAGGATCAACGTCAACGGGGTATAAACTCTTTGTTAGTCCACAGATAAAGACAATACAGGATAATAATTCCACGAGCCGTCGCTTTTTCTTTCTTAATCTGCGTCGTCTTCACGCTGAGTTTGTATACTTCAAGATTTTGCAACTCAACTTCCGCTTGATTAAGAAAAAAGACAGAATCTGTATTAGTATAGAGATAAAAGGGACAATTCTCTCAAAGATTCAGTGTTGGTTATCACCCGAAATCGTGTGGAAAAAAATATATGTCGTTTCCCCCAAGAATTTGAAGGAACTTTCGTGAAGAACTTTGATTTTAATTTCGTTTCTCATTTTGCCAAATTGGTCATTCATCGGTTTTCCTTGTTATATGCTAGATCCGTATTAAGGTAAACATGAACAACAGCGCTATCGATACTCAAATACGACACCAAAAGAAAAAAATGATTGAACATAAAACTTGATGTTTTTTGTTCATGAATAATATTATGAGAAATTAAAAGGCTTTTGTGCGACGTTTGATAAATCACCTAATTGGTGTTCAATTTAATTGGGAGTCAGTGCCTTTGATAATTGAAATTGTTTCGCAATTCATCCATGTAAACCCATTCAATGAAAAGTTCCAAAATAACAAAAATAGATGCAAATCAAACGGAATAGGTATCTTCACAATGTCGCAGTAAGGCATACTGTATTTTCCGTGCTCTCCAATATTAAATTTGTATGAAAAATCGCAAAATCTGCAAGGCTCTTAAAAACTTTATTTTTTGGGTTGCCCTTGTGCCTCTATGCAAAAAAAGATACAAATAGGCCAAATTGTTGAGCCACACATAATTCGAAATCCTAAAATGACTATTCATAATTAAACGTAAGTTGGATTTTTCGTTTAATGTCTCATCTTAAAAGTGAACAACGTTTGTATTACAGCATTTTAATAAATCTGTATTGCTGGGCGACCCGAAAATAGCAAGGAATTTTAGGGAATTGATTTCAGTAATTTTGTGGTAGTAAGTACTCACCTGAACGATGCATACAACGATATTCCTCTCATTTGTGTGGTCGTCTTTGGCAAAGTAATATGCCTAAACAGTTCACGGGCACTTAAAATTCTTTTTCTATAATATTGATCAGATGTCGCCCTAATTTCAGGCGTGGTCCCTCGGCCACGCAAAACAATAGCGACACTCGGTACCAACGCGTGTTTATCGATCGCGTTATTGTTACAGAAACAATTGAATGGGTGTGATCGCTTCATTGTCTGGGCCTCGATTTGCAAGGGGAAAATCAGCGCAAGGTCAAACGTGGGAACGTGCAAATCGGGAGCAGATTAATGACGTATGAATGATTTATGTTATTAAAAAAAAAAAATCTGGTTCTTTTTCGTGGGTACGGCGTCATTCGAAATGCTTAATCATAGTGCCCCCAATGTCCCCCCCCCCCCCCACGTATTCCCTGTAATAAAAACAACATCATTGACGGACTCGCGCAATAATAATTCCTAAAAAAAAAAAAAAACAATAGCACGCTGAAGCTATGTTTTGGTATGTGTGTTCCAACACCTTTTCTGGTTTTGTGCTGTAACGAATTTCCATATTCGTGAGCGAAACAATGATGTCATCTTGGGGAAGAAGTTTCAACGTATACATCAGCATCACAAATTGCGAGAAACAATGAAATAATTAAGTGCATGAAAAATCACTGAGCAACTTGACTAAGACGTCTTCTCAATGAGGTATATTTTGAATCATAATTTGTACAATCCTTAATTGTGTACCTTTAAGGTATTAAACAACATTTGCAAACATTCAAAAAAACTATCAAATTATTGCGAAACCTCACTTGGCTGTTAGTGAATAATAGTCCCAAGCATCCTGTGAAATCATGGCACCTGGTATGCTGTCATTTTCAAGAAAAGTGGATTTTTTGTATCAATTTCCAATGATGGTTGACACTAAATGTGGTAAATTGAGGCATTTTAAAAATATTTCCGCATTTTGTTTAGACGGTAAAATTCATTCGAATTTATTTGACAGACCCTTCACTTAGATCAAAATTGTAACAAAGTAAAAACACACGAGACACATGAAAATGTCATCAATGTCGTTCAAAAGACAAATAGGTTTTTTGTTTAATGATATACGCTTTTATCTTTTTTTTAACCATTGATACTGCTTTACAATGATTAATGAAAATCCTTCACACGGTGAAATTTGAATGGAACTTGTATGACGAGGCAAAATGGAAAATACTAAACTGGGGCGAGGTTAGGTTGGGTTGGGTGGGGTGGGGTGGCGGCTTCGAAAAACAGTAACAATGTTTACTTTACTGTCGTATTTCGCAAATCAATTTCATTTATAGAAAACTTACTCACTTGTTAGCAAGCATGCCACAATTTGAGAGCCAATTGTTTTAGTTTTTAACTTTGTGTTTCCCCCCATAAATATCTTGAATGAAAAGTAGCAACATTTTTGGAAATGCAGCACTCGCATTTTCAAATCGAAAAACGACAGTAAACACATAAGCGTGCTACAAGATAAACATCGTCAATATACATAACTGTGTGTGAACATGTGTCACGCTTTAGATAACATTGCTTCCTTTTTTCTTAGATAACACACTTTGAATTATTTTTTTACATGCCTCTTTATATATTTTTTAATAATTTAAATATACCAGCTGGCTGAATCGCAAAATTTATGCCACAATGAATATATTACAAGACACCAGTCTGTTATTTTCAGTGTTCGAAAAGCCAATAGGTTGAATCAAATCTCAAAAACTGCACTTACTAAACAGACAGGACTATCCACTTACAACTTTTCTCGATTCGATATTTTGGTATTTCTATATTTCTTTTATTTTTTTTGGGGCCGGGGGGGGGGGGGTTAGGCACCACAATGTTCGCAAAAAAAAGGTAAGTACAAATATCTAAAACAAAACATACCAATATATAATGTTCTTGTGTTATTTCTTGTTTTTAAGGTTGAGGCGGTGATGTGTACCCTGTTTTGGCGAGCCAAGTTCGAATGGACTTGTAAAATATTCAGTTCGTGCCTGGTCATAAGGTTTTCCCTGAAATGTATACTCCTGGGTTTTCATCCTGTAAATACCGAACATTATGTTCTTTCCTCTGTACGGTTTGCTTCAGGCTTTTGAGCTAGAATGTCACAAAAGGGGCTTCTGGGAACTTCTGTTTTTCATATTAAGTGAGGGATTTTAAGACATAGAATAATTTGCTTTTAATGCATTGTTTCGTTCCCAAATAACACTCCAAATCCAAAGAATGTTCAAAACCTAAACCTGTTGAACTTCCAGCTAGTGGATATTACACTTTTCGAGAAAACTGTGAAAAAGCATGCACCACCTTTTGATCACGAAACACTATTTCGTACAGCAAGCCAGACGGAATAATTTCATGGGTGTTTAGCACCACTATTAACGATCTTTAATCCAAGTAAGCTTTTTGATGATACATAATTATACTGCGCTAGGTTACTAGCGCAGAGATAAATGCAAAAGATCTTATATGCCGGTTTGCGATAAATGGAAAAGATCCCATATGCCGGTTTTGGATAAATGCAAAAGATCCTATAGGCCCCTATGCCTTTAAAAAAAAATTGATTTGTATTTTTTTCAATGGTGTTTTTTTGTAGCAGTCAGCGGTTGCCCAAAGTTACAAAGGACGTGCAATAACGTTACTATCAACTGATGTTTCGACGCGGAAAGCGCATGCGTGTTGCAGTCCGCTGACGTCATCTGCACGTCCTCTGTATATGCGTCCGAATGTTGAGAAATGACTTGTATGTTTTGTTGGGCGGTGTCAACAATTTTATTTGTTGATATCTTATGCATTTGAATAATGCACTGGGGAAAAAAACCGACCAGAGTCCATGCTTAACTCCGCATACCCATCGGGACAATCGTTACAAACAGTGGGTGACATTATTACACTACACAATAATCAACACAACTCAACGAAATCATTCAGTTGGCCAATTTACGATCACAGACACACATAATGGGCTCCAGTCTGACTTAGTAGCATTTTTATAATTACAATTTCCCTTTTAAGAGCTGCTTCTGTAAAAAAAAACTCAAAAAAAGAAGTTTACAACACTAATAAAGCAAAAATTAAAGCACAACCTAATGTTCCTGAAAACAAAATGCGTAATGATAGTATTAATGACAATTATGCAGATGAGGTATATAATGCTCAGCTAAGTTTTGATATTTTATATACAGTTTATTACCGAGTGTTTAACATGTATGCTTTACAATTCTTTATAAAGAGAAAGCAACTTTTAAGAAATATTTTCCATCAATGTTACAAAAGGAAACATTACAGAGCTAATCCGTTGGGTTTTTTTTGTAATTCAGTTTAGAAGCCATGAATTTTTTCTGGAACCAATCCAACGAGAAAGAATTTAATATTCAATGATTTAGACAAAATTCCCAACGAAGTTTGCTTGTTTATTTTATGTTTTATTAAAATGATGCGATTTTAACAATCGTACAACTCAAGAGAGGAAAATTAGCCAAGGGGAAGGTTTGACTCGTGACTTGAGCTTGAAGTTAAATGGTTCGAATCCTACTACTGGCCTCGTTGTTAAGGACACGCCCTTCGTATGTCGCAAGACTGTGTTCCCTTGTGATGTACGACAAAGCCATCCTTAAAACAGTGGACACAAAATGAATGCCGCATGCAGCAACACAAGTAGACTTAGGCCGTGTCCGAATTACTTGGCTACGGCCGGAATTTACACGTGCCTATGGAAGCGGCTGCAGCCACTTCCCATAGACCTGTGTGTGATTTCCAGCCGTAGCCACATAATTCGGACACGGCCCGAGTATTTCATGCGCATGCACTGTAACTGGAAGCCATCAAGTGTCCACGTTGCTTGAAAGTAACGGTTTATTAAAGCACAACTTACACTTGTTCTGTAGGAATAAAGCTGGCTTTACATACAGTAATTTACATTCTTGGGTGCATGTCAAAAGGCACTCCTTACAGTGATGGATAGCATTAAGCCTTCAAAGTCATAAGTAATTGTGGAAATATGTTTAGGTTTATTATAATGACAACACTAAGCAATGCTGCATACCAGCTATTTACAAAGTGCCCATTGGCTACAATTATAGTTTTATTCTTTGCTTAATAAATCATACAATCTATGTACAATTTTTGTTGTTGCTTATTCTTTCAATTTTCTACAATTTGTAGACAACTTTAGTATATGGATTTGACAGCATTTTATGTTGAGTATATTCCACTGACAACCATACAAAGTACGCATCGTACAAATTAATAATCACATGCCAAAAAGATCTGTTTTGAAAAAGAACTCCTTAACATAGTAATTTCGTCCGTTCCAGAAAACGCATGGAAATCAAAACTTCATGAAACATACAGTCGTGAATTTATACACCCGAGGACAATGCTTTGTGTTTCCCTTTGTCCCTGCTATATAACACTTTGCCATAGACTAAGCACGTAACCGTTCGATCGAGGACGTTTTCAACAAAAGACCGAACACTCAAGATGAAATGATTTTTTGTTCTCCCTTTGGTGTCTGTCCTCTATCGTAAAGCTATAAGGTACACGGACATCACTTCGGTCATTTGCTTAACACTGAATTTTTCTTTGCAAAAAAAAAAATGCTTCCCATCTAAAAAGTGAATTTTCTACGTAACCGTCTTTCTGCTATTAGGTTCAGGTGTTTGCAGATTGTTTGTGAGAAATTGTTATTTGGAATTCAAGCTCATGGTTCTCAGATTCTCCTTGAACTATATCAAGACGCATTAGCTCCATTACCTTGTAAAGTTAGTATAGCAATCTTGTCTGAAAACTAACATAAATATAGGAGTTATTTCAACTGGTACTTTATAGAAAGAAATCACCTAAGTAAAAGTGATAGATTGATTTTCTGCATTATACATATGTGCCTCAAAAAGTTACAGCACCCAGGGGAACAAGGTAAGCCTACAAGTGACTCACATTAGTGTGAACTATATCAAACCAATAATACCTCTTAATTAGGAAACCCTCCTCAAAAATGCACGCAACCATTCTATTTTCTATATTGATTTTTTTTTAAAGCCAGTGTTGTAGTACTCATACTCGATACTCGTACTCAAGTTCAACTACAGTACTTTTTGAGAATTCTTGTACTCGTACTTGAACTTGAATTCATCGGACTTGAATTCACGGTACTCACGCCGTCATCGAAGTACTCGTGCTCAAAGAACTCGGAGACAAATCGAGTTATTTAGTTTTTGAATGAAAAAAAAACATCTCCACACTTGGAGATTTGACTTTCAAGAAGTCTTGCTCAAAAGAAGGCCATAACATCCAAGTTGCTGAACTGATGGTTTCAGTTTCCACTCATTACTTGATGAGATTTGAAGTGTTTTCACTTGCGTTCTCCATAAAGTACTCATACTCGGAGGTCCCAGTACTCGGACTCGGCTTCACAAAACTTGTACTCGAAGGTCCAAGTACTTGAACTTGGGTACCTGTACTCGTTCTAATGGGCCAAAGAACTCGGACGCGGCTGGTACTCGATAGCTTGGTACTCGCCAGTACTTTGTACTTGGATAAAAGTACTCAACTACAACTGTGGTTTAGGCAGACCAGTGTACCACAGTGCTCCCAAATGTACAAATGAATATCCTTTGTCAGATGAAGTGAATATATAAAACTGGTTTAACATGTGGGAGGGATGAATTTGAACTTCTTAATTTCAGTCTCAACTTATAGTAAAAAAAAAATTAAAAGAGGGAACAGTTTTATTACAAAAGTTGGCGTGGAAACGGGTATTCTTTGTAAATTTTTGAAATAGTTTTTAAATCATGCAAAAACTGAACAAATCAACTGGATGGTATTACAAATATATTGGAAAATGCAATCTCCAAGGCGTCCTGTTGAAAACGTTGAAACAGGCCTTAGTTAGTAGGAACAGATATATTATAATTCTCTTGTAAAAAAAATTGAAATGAATACTTTGTATCTATAAAATAAAGCTTTCCACAATACACTGCACAACAGTCTCCACCCCCAAATTTTCCTCTTTCTGCATGTTGACACCTCTTCACGGATTCCTTTGATATAAATTCTTCTAAATCTACATTTATACTATCAAATAAGAAAACCATTTCGTTATTTATGCAAAGCTCATCACTAAAAAAAGCTGAGTTATACAGACTGTTACAACTTGCTTTTACATATATCTTGAAAGCGATGATAGAGTAAGATTAACATTCTAGACAGGTTCACAAAAATAAATTAAGTCTTTTTTCTTTGCACTTTGAACCAAACCCCTCTGACAATTTAGCCAAAATCTTAGTAATGTAGTTACTAAATGTTGCAAAACTGTATGATTAAACTTTCTTTTCCAGAAACGGTTTGTAAATAAAAACTTTAGCATCAAGAGGAAATCGATGTCTCAAGCTAGTTTGGTGAATTTCTATAGAGAACGGGTTAGAGCTGTACCCAACATACTGAATATCAGAATATTTTATCATTAACCGAATATTTGCAAAAGCTTTTCGTTGGAATATTAGGGGAAAAAAGAATAAACAATGCACATACACATAGGACTGTGATGTTATTTTATCGTAAATTTCAGCGCTTTATTGTCAGGTGCCACTTGTTTGTCCACAGCGGTTCATTGTTCCCACCCTTTTAGCAGGTGAAAGGTCTTGACAGTTACAAAATACTGCAAAGCACTCCAGCACACCATATCAATCGCCGCGTGCAAATTTTAACTAACGCGCTCTGCATGCAACTTTTGACCAGCGCGGCACGCAGTTGTAGGTGGCAGTTTCAAACACCCGAATATTCGGTCAAACCCAGTTTCAAGTAATCGAATACTAAATTATTCGAAAAAGGCCAGTCCTAGAAAAGGTCATAAGTGTATTCGCATCTTTTAGCAAAATAACAAGATGAGAAAAAGTTAGTTAATGCAAAGAACTAATTTCTGTAAAATAAAGCTTCCAGTCGAGATATAAAACTAAATAGATCACTTTTTTTATAAACAACTGTACTATCATACATCATTATTTCCAATAAGTAATAATCAGTATTTCGTTCTTTACAATGAACTGTGCATGAAACAGCCGTCTAATAAAAAAAGTTACGTTCCCACAACCCTTTAAGATAATCAATGCCCCAGCTCCCCCGTTACATGTATAAAACAATTAAAACAAGCCCACGCTGACTTCTTAAAACATAACAAAAACTGTACAAAAACTTATCCACCAGTTAACAATGAAAGCAATACAAGACACAATTCCTGATTCAAAACAAATTTGGCCACAAAATAATACTCTTCTTTTAATTTCTTAAAGTAACACAAAGCAAAGAATCAGAATTGTAATCTTACCTTATTCTAAGATTTTTTTTGAGGCTTCTCTTTTATATTGATACGCATAATACTTTTTTATTTCCCACAGCTGTGACGACGAAGCTAAATAAACAACTACATGTGCTAAAACTACGGCAAACTAACATGGCTACAAGTGTCATCCAGTAAGTTGTGCGTCGATTCCGCCTTTAATAATCAGATGCATGACCCCTGTAAGTTGATCGTACAGGGGGACAGTTGCTACAGTGTTACAGCAGATACAAATTATTAACTTTCAATAAGTTGTTTACACTGGCCATTAGTACAAGCTTTAGAGCCTGTAAGTGCTTAAGCATGGTAGCCTGTGAGTTTCTTAAATTGCTACGGAAGGCACTGCGACTATTAGCAACCCCTGCAATGGTCAATCATCAAGTATTGCCGAGTCAGACCAAAACAGGACCAATGAGCCCTAAGTGCCTTTTAACAACAGCAAGGCTATGTGTTCATATGAGTACATAAATGTACTCAACACATGCCAGCAAGGGTCTTTCCCGTTATATGGGTGTCCGCGACCCAGATTCAACTAAGCTGTACAAGTGCTTCCTGAAACATCTTTGTGAAGAAGGGACTAAAAGACATCAATTTAAAGCGAACGCGTGGCATGCGCAAAATTTCTACTTGTACCGATTCTTATCCAGTGTGCGTGCACAATAATTTATCTTCTCTCATATGTGTTGAAGCATACAGACTACTGCTTTGGAGCTAATGTAACACTAGACTTGGAAGGGGATAAAGTAAGGTAGACATTCAGCAAGTTAGTTAATAGGGCTATAAAACTAGCCACCATCCCTCATGTGTTTCCATGATCAGCAACCTACCGGTTGAACGAGCGATTCATGAATCTTGCGGTCCCTCCACTTTGACCATTTTACGGTTGTCCTCCATGGGCTCCTCGGCGATGCCTTCCATACGGCGCTTGGCGGGGCTTCCTGTGGGCGACTGAGCGGCCGAGGTTGCCAGCATGACCAGTGGAGAGCTGATGACCGTGCCGCTGGCCGCCAGCTGGGGCTGAGGTTGTGGGGGCTGTGGCCGGTAGAAGACGCTGGTTGGTGGCTGGTAGGTGCCTGCGACGGTCACCACGTGGGGTGCGCCCTCGGGCTGCGGCTGGCTAGAGTTGACCATGCCTTTGGACTGGGGTGGAGCTTGGGGAAGGGTTGAGGGGTGCTGCTGCTGCTGCTGCTGCTGCTGCTGCAGCTGTTTTTGCTGCTGCTGTTGTTGCTGCTGCTGGAGCTGTAGGTGTAGCTGCTGGTGAATGCTGCCGTTGTTGTTGGCAGCGTTGTTGGTGTTACTGTTGGGCACCATGGCTTTTTTAACGTCTAAAATGACCCAAAAAATACTACTATTAAAACTTTTTCAACTGGCAAAATAGTACTAATAAATCAACATGAAATAAAGAAAATGCCTACCCTCCAAAATTCAGAGGAAATGTAATTTAAATGCATAAGGAAAAGAAATGTTTTCCTATACATTTCACAACATTTTCGGTATCTTATGCCATGCCCAGGATTGTCACATCAAATTTGATTCAACGCTTCACTATTAACTTACAATCGACTTCACAGTATTTGGCATAGCTACGCAATTATTAACCTGAACTCCCCAGCATAATTTACTAGGAACCATACCCATTCAGGTAAATGCCAACACCCACATTGGAAATTGTACACACACACTGTTGGACTTAGTTTCAGGAGGCATGCAAAACCCAAGGGTACTGTACCTATCCCAACAACAACAGATTTAAACAAAACCTGCTGTTGAACTTTGATGGGTTGAGTTCGGTTAGGGTTAATGTAGTTTCAACAACTTGGATAAGGACAATCACAGATTTTATAAAGACTGTTAATGCACGATTCAGAACAATCATTGAATTGCATTTTGAAAATAGTTTTATTTTACTTTCTTGGAAATGGACAGCAACTTGTAAAGGCATATAGGATCCATTGCTTTTTATGCGTTTTATTCGTTTCCAATCATCACACCACTCAAAATCAAAAGAAAATGTTCAAAACCTAACCTGTTGACGTTTCAGGTAAGTGGATATTACACTTTTTGAACAGTGAAAAACCATCCACAACTTTTTTATCATAAAAAAAACCCACAATTTCGTCAATAGAACTCTTAAACTCCCCAAATCAGTGAATTGACTGGTCGATGAAAATCACCTACATTTCTTGATTTGTTCTAAATGACAGCAAACCAGACAGAATAATTTCACAGGGTGTTTAGTACCAGTATGATCTTTAATCCAAGTAATTGTTTTGATAATAATTTGGTAAGGTGCTTTCTGGATAAATGCAAATGATCCTATATGCCTTTTAACCCCCAACAGGTTGTTTTTCTAGGCACCCTGCCAAATGCAACAAAATGCAACGTGGCTGAAATAAAAACCCTGCTTCATGCAACTAATTGCAACAGTTGATTCTGTTGCATTGTGCAGTGAGCCCAGTGCATACCAGCCTTGTCACCAAGCAGTTACCCTGCTAAATGCAACCTAGTGCAACAGTGGATTCTGTTGTATCGCCTTGGCACTTTGAGCAGTTACCCTGCTAAATGCAATAAGATGCAACAGAACACAGGGACTGAGTTACCTGCTAAATGCAACAGTATGCAACAACTTTTTTTTACCCATTGTTGCTTTCCGTTGCATTTAGCAGGGTTACGATTAATGTAGAATCCGAATTACTTGGCTATGGCTAGTAGTAGCACGTGTCTATGGGAAGTGGCTTCATCCACTTCCATACGCACGTGTATTCAGAAGTCGTAGCCATGTCACTTGGATGTGCACCGAGTTTGACCTACGTCTGGCATACCTTCCGGATAGCCTTCCATATCCTGCTGTTGCTGCTTGAGACCATTAGCCCCATCCGTGGAGGACACTTCCTCCCTGGCTGTGGGCTGGTTCTGGTAGCCGTTACTGATTCCTGTCATCATGGGCACCATGACGGGAGTAGCGGCTGTCGATACTGGCATAGAGTAGCCCTTGAGTGCAGAACGGAATAGGATTAAAGACAAATTGTGAAGAAGCAAGTAAAGCCAGTTTTCATTTCAACAGAATTACAATGGAATGCTGCTATAATGAACACTGCTATATTGGGGAGTTCTGTGTGAAGTAGATGTATTAAGTTGCGTGATCCTGTGTGAGCTTGTCTTACATACGCAGTGTGGACTTCCGAACAAAAGACGTCCACATAATGTAGGTAGCAGTGACGAAGTGTGGACTTGCCCACGTCCACACAGTGTTTCCCCATTTCTGGAAAACAGGTTTAGAGGCATTTTTGGGTTAGGTTTATCTGTAGCAGAATGAAGAGAAACACTAAAGGGAATCATTGAAAAAAAATTGGGTTGTAAGAGTTTTCACAGTTTGAGAAAAATGAGTTTTTCCACTGGTGTTCCTTAACTACACGAAAAGAAAGGAAAGTCCACACTAGGTATGTGAAACAAGTCTGGGTGTGTGTGTGTGTGTGTTTACACTGCCTGTAAAACCCACCTTGGCGGAGGTGATGACTGAGGCTGCATGGGGCGGCATCCGGTGTAGGGCCATGCCAAAGGGGGAGCTCTGCAGGGTCTGGGAGCTAACTGGGGGTATGGCCAGGGGCTGAGTGGACCCCGTGGGCTGTTGGGGCTGCTGCTGCTGCTGCTGCTGCTGCTGGAAGGAGGGCGGTGGGTGGACTGGCGAACCCGGGCTGGAGATGCTGCGTTTCACTTGCTGCAGTTGATTTTAAAAATGATGAGTTTTGAACAAAGACATTGACAAAATGGGGAACTATCAACATAGGGCTGGATAGCACAGTTGGTAGAACCCTGGAACGACAATCCGGAGGTGGAAGGTTCAAGCCATGCTTCAGTCAATTTAAAATCCACAAGCTTGGACTTGAACCCACAACCTCCTTATTAGTTCAAACATCCTGTATCTTGACCATCAAGCTTTCCAGCGTGGATCAGCTGGTTTAAATCTGTTTACTGCAATCAACATCTAGGTACAGTGCATTTTTAAAAATGTTCTTTACTAGTCACCACACATTACAAACTTTTCATATGAAAGGTATTCCTCTGTCCTTGTTCATCACTTTGATCGTACTTGTGATTTGACTTGTGATTAGACTTAAAATTCATGATTGGCTTTAAGTGAACTGCCAAGACACGACATTTAACCAACGAAATGTGGGGGAAATGAAGGGCAGGAAAGTAGACAGGAAAAAAATAATAAATAGGTTAGCCAGACCTAAACAGTTGTAAATGCTGACATTTCAACCTTCCTGTGACAAAGCATCTTGGGGGAAGCCAAAATGTCAAAACTGAACTCCTTGATCCCACCCAAAGGAACACATTTTTTACAGAACAAATGTATAGACTTTAAAGGTAATATACAACAATTGCAAACATCAAAAAACAAAACTACCAAATTATTACGAAAAACCTTACTTGACTGTAGGTGAACAACAGCCTCAAGCATCCTGTGAAATCAAGGCACCTGGTGTGCTGTCATTTTCAAGAAAAGTGGAATTTTTGTATCCATGTCCAATGATGGTCAGCCGACCATCGTTGGAAAAGCTGACTTTTTTTCTTTCAAATACTGCCCCTAATTTACCAAATTTTGTTTGTCCTCATTTCGATTGCAACTGGTTACACATCCGTGAGCGGGTGCAAGCCAGCTAGTGTGGTTCCCTGAACTGACAATTCCCCAACTTCTTTAAATTGCTCCGTTTCGTCAGAGGTAGGGTCATGGAACCAGACTACAAGAACAGCATTTCTTCTTGGTTTTTCCAGCATCCATGAACACAAACCTTTAAACAGGTCAGTGATACAATATTTGTTACAAAATATAATCCCTAAATGCATCTTGAAATTTCTGAAAATTACAGCAAAGCAATGTTGTATATTAACTTTAAAATCAAACAGAAAAAAAAGTCCAGACTCCACAGAGAATTTAGCAGTAACCTTTCTTTGTGACAAAATTTTCTCCTGGGCCTTACAAGCACTTTTTACTAGATCTTTACCCTTTTAATCAAAATGACATCAACCTGAATATGACCTACCTCTTGCATAGCCTGAGTGAACCTTTGGTGATCCAGCACGGCGTGGTCGCCCGAGTCGCTGACGGGCATGGGCGCCGGGGAGCCTTCCCGGGACAAGCTGTCTGGGGTGAAGATACCACTGATGTACTGCACCGTGTGGGAGGGGCTGGCTGGGGCTGACCTACTGCAGAAGGTAATAAACAGAGACAAAATATACTCGCATTAAAACAAGGTCAATAGGTGTAATAGAAAAAAAAAGTACCATTTTGAAACTTTTTAAAGATAAAGAACATTTGCACACAAAAAAGAAGTATTTTCGAAGATTCAAGGAACAGCAATATAATGAACGTAGGCTATTAAAAAACTGACCTGTAGTAATTTCAGCTGAGTAGATATCATACTTTGAGAAAACTCATATCATATTTCTCGGAAGGGAAGGAATGCATGACTTTTTCCCCTAAAAACATGAAAAACGCCCTAATTCCAGCTATGGGCTCCATAGAGGGCGCGTTTTTACCACTTTTGAGAGCACAGTGGATGGGACACACAGCGTGTAGATTCTGTACTGTACTGGTTCGCGTGCGAAGTACTCACGACTTCCTGTATGTGCCAAAGCTATACGCCACAGCGTCTTCGAGTGAGCGTCAGGCCTCGTCGGCACACCAATGCGTTCAAATTTAACTTGCAATGGTCTCCCAGACTAATCCCAGCCCCAAATAACTTTGGATCATTCGAAATATGCAGTGGATGGACCAGGAACCAGTCTAGGTCTTCCCTAACTCTCCTTTTCTGGCTGTTGAAGGAGTACTTGTGCACGGAGCCTATAGCCAGAAAAGTGGCATCCCTGAAACTACCTTGGTCCATTCCTTACCTGGATGAAACCCCACCAAACGGTGTGCGGAAGCAGGGCACGCCCCGCTGGCGTCGCCGGCGGTAGGCCTGCTCCATCAGCTTAGCCTCTGAGCTAGGGTCCAGCCGCCAGAAGGAACCCTTACCGGGCTCCTCCTGGGAGCGAGGAACTTTGATGAAGTACCGGTTCAAGGACAGGTTGTGCCGGATTGAATTCTGTCATTTGAAATGATTGTCCAAAAACATGAGATGAGCAAAATGTGAGGCTATTTCAACTTTTTAGCATAAAAAATGTCAAAGATTCTTGTGCAGTTATGTTTTTGCAGTACAAAATAAAAGAACGATTAGCGGTAAATAAATTTGATCAAATCAGGCTTTGAATTTTTTTCAGATTGTACTTAGTCAGTAGAACTTTTTTTTCTGTTAGCCTAGTGTTTGTGGTTTTTATGTTTATATGGTACCAAATATCATGGGTCTTCTCAACCTTGCGCCAGATTTCACACAAATAAAGCGTGCAAGAAATGTTTCTTTGAGGATGGATAGTTGGTAGACAGAGGTTGATGGTGCAAGGGTTCAATCTGATAATCTTTTTTATGTAAGTAAAATAACAGATTAGCTGCAACTTTCACCGTAACCGCCTAGGCACTTTTTGCTAGGATCCATCCTCAATCCTTCAAAATCCTCCAACTGCCAAAATGTAAAAATTGGATTCAGGCTCTATCCTCCAAAATCATCCACTATTACTTGAGTTTGTTCAGTGGAGGGATGACCACTGCCTCGATCCTGCAAAATCCTCCAACAATCACTGTAATACATTAAGGCAATGCAAATGATATCCAGTTGTAGTGCGGATGGTGTCCAGTATAACATAGGCCTCAGATGTGCATGGCTGAATATAAACAATGCAGGGTACAGCTTAAGACCTTGACACAATGCATCCTCCAAAATAAATGACACCTTTTTGGGGGATACTGCTGCAATACTTAAATCCTCTCAAACAGCCTGGTTGATTTTGGTTGATTTTTGGAGGATTGAGGAGGGTTGGGGTTAACAAACAGGATTGTCCTACATTAACCCTAACCAAACTCAACCCATCAAAGTTTAACAGCAGGTTTTGTTTAAATCTGTTGGGATAGGCACAGTACCCCTAAACTGATGGTCTTTTACACTGGGGTTGGCATACCTCCAGAAACTAAGTCCAACAGTGTGTGTGTACAATTTCCCATGTGGGTGTTGGAATTTGCCAGAATGGGTATGGTTCCTAGTAAATTAGGCTTGGGAGTTAGGTTTAAGCAGCTACTGACCTGCCATCCCTTGTCAGCTGATCTGTAGTAGGGGTACGCCTTGGTGATATATGCATAGATACCACTAAGTGTCAGCTGCTTGTCTGATGATGACATGATGGCTTGTACAATGAGCTAAAAAAAAAAACACAACACACAAATGGTACAACTTCAATATACATGTAATACATGAGTTACGTTATACTAGAAGGAAGTCTCGAGTTAATAATGAACTGCGGGATAGTTGTAAACCCCTTTCCTAATCATTTGAGGCAAAAGTGAAAAAAAAAATCCTTTTAGGAGACAAGTACTATTTGCTCATGTCTGTATAAAGGGAGACTGACTTGATTTCAAGTCAATCTATAGACTTAAAATCAAGTCAGTCTACTGACAATAGTATGCATGACTCCTAGCCTCATTTCCAGGAATGCATTGTCTTTGGTATTTAAATAAATTAACCTCTTTTTCCCCCCCAGGAAACCTACCAGCAGCATTGTAGTCAAGTCCATCACAAGTCCAAAGTCCAGTCAAAAGTATATCACAAGTCAAGTTATGAGCAACAGGGGTTAAACAATAATAAAAGGGAATGCCTTAGTCACAGTTCATTTGAATAGCTTGTGACTCCACTTGAGACTGGAGAAACTGTGATAGACTTGAGACAATATTTTGTGGACTTGTGAGGACTTGTGATGGACTGGACGACAACACTGCCTACGAATGATCTCATTCTACCTGTGCGTAGGAGTAAGGTGGCTTGGACTCTTCTTTAGGGCTGCCCATGTCGTTGCCCGAGGAGTGTCCTCCGTCCTTATCTTCGGCCGAGGATGCCGCAGCCGCAGCGAGTGCGGCAGCCTGGAGGTCAGGGGTGATGTTCCTCCTGGAGTTGGCTCCCGTCCCGCCGCGGGGACTTGTCGGGCACGAGTTGACAGCGCTGCAATAGACAGAGGCAGCAGGAGCGCAATGTTAACTTTAATCCCAAGAAAATTTTCACCCACCGTAGATTTACGCTATATTGCACATGATGGGGTCCTCACAAGATTGTTCAGTATAGTGTTTGTTATTTTTATTTTGTTGCCGCCACGGCATATAATTTTACGTAAACAGTGGGTGCCAAAGAGGATGTTTATCATGGTGGCAATGTACTGAACTGCTACATCCACGGCTTTGAGATTATTTTGACAATAACTGTGAAATCCCTTTCTTGGGCAACTAGTAATATGTACAACTTGTTTTTCCGCTTTAAAAATAAATTAAGGAAGTACCTCTCTAGAGATAATAAACACATCTGACCAAATCTGAAATACATGGTCCACATTATCTGGGAAAACCCAAGGTGCAGAGGCTGAAATAGTGTGATTCCATCGGGACATCCCAGATGGGCTTGGGGAACTCCAGATTGCAATAAAAACAACAGTCAGTTTTAAACTTTGAAACAAAATCAAAATATAATTGTTTTTAACGGGAATCGACCCCATGTAGAAGCCATATCTGGTCCCTCAAAAACAGATTCCGGGCATTCAAAATACATCTTATGCTGTATACAATTATCATGTTGAGGTGACAGATTACTAATAGCCAATTGAAAACGTAACAAATAAAATCAAAGTTGGAGCAAAGGCTTGCCTTATGGTGCCAGTGGGTGAAGGGAAGGGACTGCCGAATGTGGTCTCCGCAGGGGGGATGTCAATCTTGAGGGGCGGCATCATCTTGCGCTTGATGGGGAAGGGTTCAGGCATGACCGGCGGCGGGCTCTGCTCGCTGACCAACGCCTGGAACATGATCTTGATACTGGTGCTCGGGAACCGCAACAAGCATCTGTCGGGAGGGAATGAGTGTACGATTAAAAATTTGTATCAAGGATTGTTTTGAATCGCAGTTGAGTCCATTGAAACAAACATTGGTCTGGAAAAGTGCTCAATGTAGACACAAGTCCAGGAGTCCCCCTCAACGGTTACAAAGATCACTTGGAAGCCTAGTACCTTTGCGGTACTGAAGATACTGAAGATTTTGCGGGCAATTCCACGAGACTGTAGCAGGGCTAAAAAATGGAACATTTATGAATCTTCAAAACTGCAAACATCACAACCTCAAATATGGTATCAAATTATGGGCAACGAAGACCTTTCATTTGAGTGATGTGGCAGTGAGATGGATTATGGGTAAGTGTATTTTTTGTCAAACAAGTAGTTTTTAAGCTAAAATTATGGATTTTATGGCTAAAATTAAACGGTAGTCACTTGGGCAGCTTGTTTTTACATGCAAAATGCAAGTGTTATTGACAGTTTTTGTCTCTAAGGCAGAGTTCATATTATTTTTATGTGACAGTACCTTTATTGTACCTTTATTTTTTATTTTTAGTTTCTTATGTTTGAACTTGTATGTGCCAAAGATGGGTGGACAAACTGTAATGTGACTTACCGTAACTTGAGTTATCAAAATATATATCTCTGGAGATTTTGCGATTGACTATTTTTTTTAAAAATTGACATGGTAGCATATGACTTACAGTACACCCTAATGATGCAAGGACGCAATAAAGATTTTTCCATCAGTGTACAGTATGAGAAAACTTTTAAATGAAGGGTATTTAAATTTTTGTCATGTCATTTTCTTTGTATCGTGAGTTACCGATAAAAAAGTTGTTGCCAAACCAACAGAAGTTTATTTTGTTGGCCTTATTTTTAATAGTGTAGTCACTTATTTTCCAGGGATCTTCTGAAAGAAAAATCCATCTCAATGTTTCGACTTTATAGAATAACAGTACAAAGTTGACAGAAGACCCCTTGACAGAAGACCCCTTCTACACGTATCCCGAGTTTCCTAGAATTAGCTACAGTACATACAGAAGACCCCTTCTACACGTATCCCGAGTTTCCTAGAATTAGCTACAGTACATACATTTAACCCTCCAAGTCTTCTGCACTTTTAATACAATCTTCCGAGTTTTGCAAAACCACTTTTGTCCATAAGCTTTGAGGTAATCGTCTGTGGAGAATGGATAACACTTCAAATCCATGAACAAATTTTGTTTTGAGTGGTGAAGCTCAGGGCAAGCAGGCAGATCCGGTCACCCTTCACTGCTCTCCACAGTGCTGATTTTGTGTGTGCAGTGACTCTCCATGTGACATCACATACCGGTAGTTACAATAACACTTCATATATCCCTTCGCTTGAAATTGACCCCACAGGGATTTGAGGGGTTTTACATATTGCTCTGAATATTGACTTCCCACTAGGAGGGTTAATGAAGGAACTGCCACTGTAACAATTATGTGACAATAACACCATATATTTACACTAAATTCCATCATTTGCTTGCAATCTATGGATATTTAAATGAAAAATACTTGCAATGTTATTTTATCCAAGATGTCAAAACGAAGCCCTTATTTTTACAATGGCTCATTTAATATTCACTTCTCAGTTTTATCTGTGATGTAAATAAAAATGATCTCTACAAAAAAAATTAACAAATGAACTGCTCACAACAGCAGAGACATACTTAAATATTAAACGATCCGAAAGCCCACATGTACAAAATATAACAATAGCTTCAATGCAACACAGGAACTGTGGCATTTGAAAGATGAGTATCGTCAGGGGAAAAAAATCCTGAAATTGGCAATAGCTTTTTCATCATAGCAGGAGCAATGCCATCAAAAACAAAACCAAAACAACTCAGTTTTTTTTATGGAAACTGTGGAATCTGAGAACCGCTGGATAAAGAATTGGCGCTTGAGAAAACAAACAGCAAACCCTTGGGTATAAAAAAAAATTACGTTATCCGGAATTAGCTGCCGAAATTTTTCAAAAGCATTGAATCGCGGTTGTCAGTATCGGTGAAACCACAAAGGAAGAATATTTCTTTACAACACAAACTTTTGACTTCAATTATTTCCTGTTTTCAGCAGCCTGGTTACAAGTATCCTGAATCCACCAAAATCCACCAATTTTGTCATGCAAAAATTGTTGGTGTCCTGAGTCCATCAGAATCCACCGTTGTAAATACTGGAGGTATCCTGAATCCGTCAAAGTCCAACAGCAAAAGTCGTGATGGATTCTGATGGATTCAGGATACCATGCTGGCATAAAACAAATAACAGTATGTTTCTCCACAGAGTCTTCAAAATCCACCACCTAAATTGCTGGTGGATTTTGACGGATTCAGGATATCATGCCTGCATGAAAATTGTGATGTGTGTTGCTGCATAGGATCCATCAAAATACATCACTGTCAGCGCGCAGCGTGCTCGATAATGAGGCACACAGCGAAGTTTTATTTGCAGCGAGTTGTACGGTCTCGGACCTTCGAGAATTCACGAGGTTTCGCGAGCGTTCTGCAGTGCCCCTGGAAGATCGACGAGAAACCCGTATTCGCGGCAGTGTTGGGCGGCTTGGGCCAACATGGAGGGGTGAGTGAAAAAGTTTTTTTTCGGCGTCGAATGATACCATTTTTTAGTGATTATATTGTTGTAAAGGTGATTAATTAGGCTTGCGAAATGAGGTATGAAAACCCTTTTTTTTTAACACTACCTGCACGTTTTGAGTGATCCCGACTACCTCGGGATATTGTTGGATAACATGTGTCGTTTCCTGGACTCTTAAAGAGTTATGCTTTCGAACCGTACTATTCCCATCTCTGCAGGTTTCGTGGGCGATTTATATTTTGATGCGAAATATACGCGAAAAATGCATGATTTCGGTCGGCAATGTCTGATTCGGATGGCGTCACTCATGTATGCAGTGTATGGATGTATATTACCGGTACTACGTACATGTTCGTACGTGGGTGCATCGCGACCGATGTCAACAATAGGTTCCTACCTGTTACTTTTGCATGTCGCATCAAGTACAAAACAAATACATCCCATGTGCATCTAGGCTATGCATTAGGAAAGAATGTAGTATCCAGACGCCACTTAATTCAGCGGTTGTGTACAAAGTCTATGAGTATGAAGAGTCAAGAAAATTAATTTTCTAAGTATTTCTTAACAAAATTGGAAATAATTCTCACATTAATTTCAGTCCCAGATCAGTGCGTGAAATTACAGTCGGACATCGGACATTTTCCGACCACTTTCATGGTTTGTCCGACCAAATGCAGATGTGCTCGGACAAAATGTCCGAGTGATTTATGTATTCTTTGTGGAGTTGTCTTTTTCAGAAGTATGAAAAAAACGCTTGCACTCAAAAGTATTTGTTGTTTATTTCCGATGATCCGGTCTGAAATACTTACCGTACGCTGAGCGGCTGCTAACTACATGTACGTGTTATATTCTTATATTCATGCAATAGATGCAACGCGTTTACACCCTAATCATTACACAGTCTAGTACAGCGTGGTGTGCACAGCGATAGATTGGCATTCGTACGTACGTGCCGTTTGCCAAAAAATAGACGTGAAATCAAGTCGATAAATTGTGTTTCGATCAGCAGTCTTCATGTTTCTTCTACAAATCAGTTAATACAACTTTTTGTACTTTTCAAGTCATTTTATGGAAATGAGCAGTGGCCGTTTGTGGAATTCCCAGTTAATTTCTATTGGGCAAAAGTGTTAAATTGGACCTGATTCAACCTCTATTCCTTGCTATAATGATTCGATCGAGCCTCTTTGGACATTCAGAACTGCAATTTCACCCAGTTTAAGTTATGTGTTCTGCAGACTTGAATCGAGTCTGTATAGTGACGAGTCGAAATATAGAGTATTATAAGGACATTGACGCGCATACATGTAATAAGAATTTAGCAAGATCAAAGTACGTTTTGTTGAGCGGTATGCATTAAGTGCGTGATTTTTACTAAATTCTCACAACGTGGCTTACTACAGAAAGGAGCGCGTGAATCAAATTTGGAACGCTAAATGGCAGATCAAAACTTGACAATGGCAGAACACTTTTGATTGTGCTCGGACATTTTGTCTGACCACTTTTTTTGTCTAATTTCACGCACTGCAGATTCATGTCTTTTTTCAACATTTTGCAATGACTAACTATTAACTATTTTTTTATTAGGTCTTTCCCAGTAAATGTACATGTATATTGCTTGATTATAATTTTTCTCTCCTTTCTCTTTTCTTTAATATACCCTAGGTCAAGTACGCAGAGTGATTTACCCATTTTCCCTGTCAAGATAGTAAGACACAACATCCGCACTGGAAGATGAACATGACCAATTTCAATGGAACTCTATTATTTTACCATGGATTGAACTATACCATTTTTGTGGTGCGACCGGATAATGATTTTGCATGCTTAATTCAATGACATGTGATCAACAACTCACAAACTGACAAATCAGGCGCTGGGGATTCTTACGCCATGTCACATGGAATATTGCATGTATTGTTCATTGATAAAAAAAACTGAGGAATAAGCACTTTCATGGTACATGTAATATGCGCCATCTTGTTCACATAGCAAAAAGAACAAGCATTGCTAGATGCGAACACATTTTGAAAAGGACACATTTTGGAATGAATGCTTGATGACTTGGAAGCGCAAAAGGTTTTGTTTGATGACGTGTAGACTGCAACGCATGTACATTTGCCCGGTACGCAAGATGACGCATTACAGTGAAAAAAAATAATCAGTTCAATCAAATTTCTCTAAATATCAACTTCCAGTTTTATTTCACAAATTAATCAATTTGTCTGTAGCCTTTATGCTGTATATTGAAAACCGATAATACAATACAAACCTCTGCGAACGACTGTACACTGCACTCAAAGTCCATATCGATGTTCTGAAAATACGCAGACTGCGTAGCATTATGAACCACTGGCAACTTTGCTGATCGTCTGCGAGACAGTTTGCGTCTGTCTGAGTTGTCGGCGACACTTCCAGATGAAATGTTTCCATATTATGTGTTCTGCAGTTTTGGTCCTTTTTTTTCGTTTCACTTTGCATTTCTTACGTTGATATGGGAACTAGCCTGAACAGAATTGATTGCTTGTTACTTTGTAACCATTGCAATCTTAAATATTTATTATTTGTTCTTATACGCCTGCATTCTTACCCTTGTAATTATTAAGAAATACAGTTTGCGTCTGTCTGAGTTGTCGGCGACACTTCCAGATGAAATGTTTCCATATTATGTGTTCTGCAGTTTTGGTCCTTTTTTTTTCGTTTCACTTTGCATTTCTTACGTTGATATGGGAACTAGCCTGAACAGAATTGATTGCTTGTTACTTTGTAACCATTGCAATCTTAAATATTTATTATTTGTTCTTATACGCCTGCATTCTTACCCTTGTAATTATTAAGAAATACAGTTATTGTTATTGCCAAGGGATGGAGCGGTTGAATAATCTTGTTATTGTCTTAAAACGAATTGCTGACAAGTTGTGGAATTTTATAAGCTCATGGTCTATACATGTAGCAAGAGTATAGTTACTATATATGTACATGTACATCAGTGTTTTCCAGAGCATTAATAACCTCACACACACAAAAAAAACTGTGCCTTAATTTTCATGTTCACTTTTTTCAGTTCTATATTTGTAAGTCATTCCATGTTGTGAGAAACTTTCATTTGTAAAGTTTTTTTTTCTTGGAAACTGAAAGTGGTTCAAATATTGAAGTGTTTCAGTACACCTCAATGTTTAATGTTTACAATGTAACTAAATGCAGCTGAAAGTATGTAATTGTGATTTTATGAATAAACTGTTTCCCAGAATTTCAATCAAGAAAAGAGACGACTTGTTCTTTATATTTGTTTTCAGGTTCATGTCCACTTTCCTACTTAAGATAAAGCCAAAAATATAGCCAAAAATATAGTGATTTATTTTGCGAATTTGTACTCACCCACCCCTCCCAATAAATCCCCGCAATGGTTAAGAAATAGTTATTGCATTGCCAGCATAAACACTTAGTAGGACCCCCCCCCCCAACAAAAGACCCCGACAAAGTCTGTTTATAATGCGTTTACATGAAACATCGTTTTATTTCCCTGTTTCGAAAAGACACGCAACCAGTTTATTATAGTCGGGCGCCTTTACTCCGCGTTTACTTATTGTGATCCCGTGTATGTGTGGAGCAGGGCACGAAACCGCCGCGCACGTGCTTTCTGAGCGGTGTTATTTTCGTGACCTGGGCACTCGGAATAGACATCCTTTTTGAGTGATCCTGACTACCTCGGATACTCAAGAAAACCAAAGTTATATAATAAAAGTAGCTTAATAATGTCGCTTTTCATCAAATCGTCAACACATTCTGCCCAACTTCGTTTAGTATAGAAAAAAGGACAATTTTCACCGACCGTAAATTCACTACAACAACGGTCATATTTCCTTCCCCATATTTCACAAAATAGTTGCTTAAAACTTAATTATTATCATTTAACAATTAGGCTATACCATTTTCAATCTCTATTTCAAATAAAATCTTACTTTTAAAGACACGTTAAGCGGAAAATGAATTTCGAAGATTGGATCTCCAATCTCATGAATATGCATTTTTCGAGTGTGTTCGTGCATACGCTGCAAATAAACGAAAGCACTTTCAGGCATGCTGCGCGCTGACTGATCACTTGCATGGTTCAGCTGCTGGTGGATATGATGTGGGGTTGTTTTTCCTATCAACTTGGGCTGTGGGTAATTATGTACATCATGATGTGTACATTGTCTGGAAGGGTTATTTTCAATGAGCCATTGTCCTATATTTCATGTTTACTGGAGCATATCAGTATCAGTATTTATAAGCACTGTGCATAAAATATTTCATACCGGTACATTGATATCTTCTTTCAATGGATAATTATGTAATCTTACATGTATGTTTTAAGTATACACTAACCAATGAATGGAGGTGGCGATCCAAGCATTGCTTTGTCTCAGGGATGGGTTATTTACATAATCCATTGTTTATATGCTGAGGCCTAATAAACCCCAGTCACAAGCTCCCATCCCCCCAGTATGCACATTTCGTACAGCATGTGACAGACTTGGCAGTATTTACTTGACCACAAACATAGCCAAAGAGTTAAACTGTTGAAATCCTGAATCCATCAAAGACCCCAACAGCTCAATATACACGGAGAGGTATCCTGAATCCATCAAAATCCTGCAGTTCTGCTAGGCTTACAATCCTGAATCCATCAAAATCCCCCAGTTTGTTCAATATGGAGGTATCCTGAGTCCGCCGAAATTCCCCGAAACAGGGGTGTGGATTTTGTTGGATTCTGGTACGTTAGGGTTAATTATAAATGATGTTTTACTTTAGAGTTTAGGGGGCCATTCAAATTTTAGATGTTTTTAAATTTCAATTTTTTTTCTCCAAAATGTGGTTGGGTGGGTCAAATTAATTTATTGAATTTTTTTGTTAATCAAAATTTTTTTTTTCAATTAAAAAGATAGAAAATAGCTCTTTTGACTTGCCAATGCAACTCTCTGCATTTCCGATTCGTAAACCCTTTGCCCGTATGCATCCGGTACATGTACATGTACATGTACCGTGTATTGTGTATACGTCCATCGGAGCACCATATGCATGGTGACCAGTGAAGTTAGACTTAAAGCATGCGTAAAATCAGTGCACAGTGCAAATGGAGGGAAATACCAACCTGTTCATTTTGTCTTAATACACGCCACGAGTGTCGTTTACGAATCGCGACAACAAAATAAACCTACTTGTGTTACCATGCACATGGTATATCTGTATGCAATGAACATGGCAGTGCCCACACGTTTGGAAAGCGCAAGTTGAGAGTTTAATTAATCAAAACGACCGAAATTTCTAAATAAACTTCATGAATAATGGGAGTCATTACACCTCTTTACGCCAAGACAAAAGTTCCTTTTTTTAGAGCGAGCTGATACTTATTATTACTGTTAAGAATGGACTAGTTTAACATGTTTCCAGGTACATGTAGATTCCCTATACATATGGGAATGCCAGTGGGCCGTGTTGTTGCAAAGGTACTGCAGCTGCAGACTGCAGCTGCATTCCACCGTCACTCAACTGGACATTCATTATGTTTTTTATTGAATGAAAATCAATATTTTAAGATCCAAAATTGGGGTGGGTGGGCAGGTCAAATTAATTTGGAAACAAAAATCGAAATTTGAAAACATCGACAATTTTGAATGACCCCTTACATTAATTTCTTTTCTCTAGATTTTGATTTTTTTTTTTTATAGAGATAAAAGAACTATCCCCTTTAAAGTCGTAATTTTAACGCTTTCCGGTTTAGTATACAGACGTTATTTAAGCTCTTGTTCCATACCAAACATGTATATTAGTCAAGTATCGAAAGACCAATTCTAGAAAAGAATCTGTATTCACTTTGTTCTATAATACAGTGAATCCTGCACACGGCCACGTGCTCTAATGCACTTACTGTGTAGTAGCACCTTCAATGACGCCCCTATAACTCCCACACAAAAATGATCTATTTTGTTAAAGGATCACCAATGGTCTTATCTTTACTCCGTAGTCGTTTAAAGAAAATCCGCCAGTTCAACATGACCGTTTTATGAACAAATTTAAGAATGTTTTTATCTCAAACGGTATTTTCGCTGTAGCACAGTCGGGTCCCTGGCTCAACGAGTTGGCCGTAACATTATTCATAACTAGGAACTCGACGACAGGCTCAGTGCGGCGTGATCACAGTGTGTGTGGTCAACCGTTGACCAAAAGTTGCGCTGTAGCTCTGTTTGTTTATTGTGTACATTTGAGTTCTGTCTCCTGCGATGTGTGCACGCTTCTGTCCACGAAGGGAATGAGATACGTCCCAATGTTGGTGGCCTACCCAACCCCCCCCCCCCCATACACATACATACATGCACACATGATCCAAATGTTAACAAAGGGATCTGCTTACCAGTGATCAACATGTAGTGTAGTCACTATGAACATGTTCACAGGTCTTTGCACACACTGGATACATGGGTCTATTAACGAAAATTCTCTAATTGCCACACAAGAAGTCATATTCTGTACTAAATATGTGTATCTTCATGCATACGGTATCTCTTGAACACATTCTTCAAATGGTATGCAGGAGATATGCAGGCACCAGCAGCTACATGTATACACTGTGAATGCCAATGATGCGGATGGCAAAAGGCAGGCAGTGAAATCGAGTTGTGCAGTGATACGAAGGTCCCAGTCTACATTGTAAACTGTGAATCAACTACATACATAAATAAAATGAAACATTTCATTGACTTACCAGATTGTATATGTATGTACTGCAGAATTTTGTACAGATGGGAACCTATGTGTAATTCAGTAAATGTGCAGTCATTTGAATAGGTAAGAGTTAGTTCAAAATGTTTCTGCCTGCCCCCTGTGAGTGTTCAATCACATGAATGAGAGACGCTTTTCAGTGAACTTTTGCAAGCATATTGATAATATCAAACACATGCTTGACATAGCTTAGCATGTGATCAAGTATTAATTAAGGTGCTTCTAGTGCTTTTATTTTTTAGCTGTTTCGGCAAAGTCCGCCAAAACAGCTCTTGTTTTCATTCAGATTTTTTTCTCCTCTTTTTCTTTCTTCTTCTTTTTCTCTTTTGTTTTTCAGACTCTTCTCCATGGGATTTTTGCACATTT